GATAGCGCTAGTACTGGAACTCTGGTCACACAGACTGATCACACACAGACTGGTCAGACAAATAATCAGCAAAGGCCCCGTACTTTTCAAGTTGATACAGACCAATGATAACTGTTTTTGAAAATACGAATTATACTGCTGACCCTCTAACAAATAAATCAAGTGGGTCACATGCTGAACAAGAAAGATCGGTAGAGGATCCATTCCGAGGAAACGAAGTCATAAGGAGTGTTAATCTAAGGGACACTGAAAATCTGACACAAAATGAGAGAACTAATGATAATACACATGATCTTACAACTTATACAAAAGCAGGTACAATTAGAAAAAGAAAAACATACAACCAACCACTCAATTTTAGAAAAGACGCGAAAAAAAATGAGATAAGAGAAAAACATGGCTTACAACCACCCTGTCCAGCTTCCTGCAAAAGGCTATGTATCCAGAATATATCAGAGGATCAACGAAAAATTATAAATGAAAGCTTCTGGAATTTAGGTGATAAAGAAAGGAAGGCATTTATGCTGCATCACACTTCAGCAAAACCTGTGAAACAAAGAACAGTAGTAACAAAATCTGAATCAGAAGACTACAGGAAAAAAAAACAAGCTACAGTTATTCACTTAAAGACGGGAATGGGACATCGTATGGAGTATGTAAAACATTCTTCTTGACAACTTTGGGCTACAAACTATCTAACGATAAACCTTTACAGACTGCTTTGGCCAATTGCAAGGAGACAGTTGCACCGCCAGTAGATAGGAGACTGGGAGCTGCTCCTCATAATAAGATTGACTCAAATCCTATAAAGGAACATATAATGAACTTCGAGCCTAGTATATCTCATTATAGGCGTGAGCACGCCCCCAATCGCTTATACTTACCCAATGATTTGACAATTCATGCGATGCACAGAGACTTTTTAGAAAAAAATCCCTCTCACAGCGTATCTTACGACAAATACCGAGAAGTGATCGCAGCATTAAATATATCTTTCGTGAAGCTTGGCCACGAAGAGTGTGAGGACTGTGAAGAATTCCGTCTGCATGACAATACACACACCAAAGAAAATCTCCAAGAAGGCTGTTTAGGTTGCACAAAGTGGGCAAGTCATAATGAACGGGCAACTATGTCGAGAGCACAATATAAATTAGACAGTGAGCTAAATGAAACTGGTACTGTTGTATATTCTGCCGACTTACAAAAAGTTATCATGCTGCCCAGGATAGACATGTTCAAAACTGCTATTTTCACCCACAGGATAGTTGCTTATAATGAAAGTTTCGTGCCCACTGGTCAAGGCAGAAAAGGTTTGAGTGTTTTTCCTGTACTATGGTATGAAGGATTATTTGGACGCTCCAAATCCGAAATCATAAGCGCATACCTCCATTTTTTTATTTTTCATCGAGATAAAAAGAAAATCATACTGTGGGTCGACAATTGTTCGTCACAAAACAAAAATTGGACATTTTTTTCGTTCTTAATTTACGTAGTCAATTCAAATGACATCAACGCCGACAAGATCGTGATCAAATATTTCGAACCAGGCCACACTTTTATGTCTGCCAACAGTTTCCACCACAGGGTGGAGTTATCTATGAAGCGCATGAAAAACAAAATTTATGACTTTGCTGACTTTTCTCAGGCAGTTACTACTGCAGGAAAAAATGTAAAACCTAAAGAGATGACTCTACAAGATTTTTATGACTGGGAAGATTACACGACACAGTATAAACTGTCTCGAATTGCACCGCGTCCATATATTAATGAAATGGTCGAAGTAGAGGTCAACAGGGGCAGTTTTGATCTGACATACAGAACTGGATTCAATAAGGACCCTATCACTGTGAGCATAATCGGAAATAAAATTTTAAAAGCTCAAGTTTTGCCACCACCAAAAAGGAAAACTGCTCCGGAAGTCATTTCTAAAAGCAAAAAAAGAAAATATTTTGAAATCCTTTCAAAATATTATACCCCAAAATAGAATGTCCTTTTGGAGAGATCTCCCTGTATCATTTGACTAAATTTCATAGAACCCGTTTTTTTTGCTATATATTATGTATGCTATTTCAAATTTAATGAATAAAAGATTTTGTTAACATATATTGACTGAGTTTTTTCTTTAAAATAACACATTTTTTTATACACAAAAGATTTATATCTTTTTATATACAGTCATGTAGGAGAAGAGGTAACAAAAAAGCGGTAACTAAAACTTTAATTCTTTAATTCACTAAGCAATGTGGCAGTATCTCATGAATAAGGTATTTACACAAAGATTTTTGATATTCCAATTATTGTGATAACAAATAGACCCAATGTTATATTATAAATATTACTTGATAAACAAAAAATCTTAATATAAAGCAAAAACTAAAACACTTTTACATAACGTCAACTAAGTCGAAACTCGCTTCCATTGAGATACCGCTTTTGCGCTTAGTTGGGCAGAATAGGGCAACTCATAAGGATCATGCTACAAACAAAAAACTTGGAAAAAATTTCACAATTACATTTTTTTTAATGTTAAGCTGTTTAGGGTGAATATTTTCAAAAAAAGGGTAAAAAAATCATAACTTGAAAACTACAAAAAATCGCGTAACATACATAGGGTATTTTCGGATACCCCTAGGTGTGAGGAATCAAAAAAAAATTTTATAACCTCACTGTTTGGACCACCCTGTATATACTGCAGACCGTGTAGACCATCCAACAAATGATTACTAAAATTTCTTTATGCACGCTTAACTTGGGGAGTACGCTGGCGAACGCGTGACGAAAGCGTTACGAAAAGTGTGATCAGGCGAGGCATGGAGGTTAGAGAGAAGAAGAACGATCCCTACGTACTAAAGCATAGCCCAACTGTCCCTGAACTGCCTTCGGTAAGCAGTATCTGCAAAGTTAGCTATTTATGAGTAAGGTAGATGAAGTTAGTTGAATAATGTATAAATTTTCTTCGCGGCATTGCTGAGAAAATTTTCATGCTCCGTAATTTTGTAATTTTTGACAAAAAGAAACATTAAAAAATGGAGAAATATTTTATTGTACGTGGATGTGCAAGTGGGTTAGCGTGCGGGTGTGCAAGTTTTATTGTACGTGGATGTGCAAGTGGATCGGAAAAATAGACTGAAAATGACTTTTATTGACCGAACTTAGCGATCGCAGCGCCTCACTTATGGTATCCATATATCTGGGACTCTCTCTGTTCTCTAACATTCATGGACTGTGAATACTACAACTAATAAACTGCTTTACAGACTTAATAATATCTCGCGCGCACTATAGACAGAGAATCGTAGACAGAGAAACCTATAGACAAATTGATGCCTTCTTTCGCATTCGCACACGAAAAAGATATATTTATGCATACGTCTTGCATAGAAATAAGACAGAGCGGTGTGATTGTTTGTCCCTTTCTCCGTGCCGGTTTTTTTATATAGCAAACTACACTTTGCCAAACAACTTTGACAGTTCGTAACAATCTAAGGAGTTTATAAGTTGGTTTAAGTGAGAATAAAGTGTTTTGTGAGCTTAAGATTGGTGAATCTTGTTCAGTTTAGTTCTTAGAACAATCAAATTTTTTATCTAAATATGTTTAAAAGTCATAAAGATTATTGTATAACCTAAAACTACGTTATCGTCCTTTCTCACGCGAGCACACGCTAATCATTAGTCTATAGATTTCTCTGTCTACGCAGAGAATGCTATTCTCTGTCTACGGCCATCGGCCATAGATAAGAGACCTACGGCACCGTAACTGTTCCCTATGATCGTAGACAGAGAAACCTATAGACTAATGATCGGCGTGGCCTCGAGTGAGAAAGGAAGATAACGAATTTTTAGGTTATACAATAATCTTTATGACTTTTAAACACATTTAGATAAAAAATTTAATTGTTCTAAGAACTGAACTTAACAAGATTCACCAATCTTAAGCTCACAAAACACTTTTTTCTCACTTAAACCAACTTGTACACCCCTAGGTTTCTCTGTCTACGCCTCATATACATAGGGACCACAGACTACTAAGAGGATACATAGGGACTATATATATATACATATATATATATATAGTCCCTAATCGTAGACAGAGAAACCTATAGACAAATTGACGCCTTCTTTCGCATTCGCACACGAAAAACATAGATTTATTCATACGTCTTGCATAGAAATGAGATAGAGCGGTGTGATTGTTTGTCCCTTTCTCCGTGCCGGTTTTTTTGTTTAGCAAACTCTACAGTTTGCTAAACAACTTTAACAGCGTATCGATTTAAGGAGTTTAGAAGTTGGTTTAAGTGAGAAAAAAGTGTTTTGTGACCTTAAGATTGGTGAATCTTGTTCAGTTCAGTTCTTTGAACAATTAAAATTTTTATCTAAATGTGTTTAAGAGTCGTAAAGATTATTGTATAACCTAAAAATTCGTTATCGTCCTTTCTCATTTGAGGCCACGCCGATCATTATAGGTTTCTCTGTCTACGTCCCTAATATATATTTCACAGAGTACTTTCTAAATATTTAGTAATCTATGGTAACCACAGAACACTATACTCTAAGTATCATATTAGTCTGTGCTATACTCCTATATGGTAACTGTCTTGTTTTTACGTGTTTTACAGGAGTTTGCATTTTAATTTAGATCGTTTTGTGAAATATTAAGTAAGCTAATATTTGTTACATAAATGTTTAAATTACTTTTTCGTGTGTTGTAGAAGTTAAAAATGCAACCAAAATTTGTATGCGTATTTTAACATCTAACTTTTATATCATAGATGATAGATATGACTATTTACTTCAATAATTTTATTTTAGTCCATTACAACTCCACTGCTTAACATAGGCCTCCCCCAACGAATGCCATTAGCACCTGCATCCAGGATAAGTTTAAAATATATTATGCTGGGATGCATTGCCATTAACAAAAAAAAAAAACACAGGTTTATCATTCATGTAAACCAATAATTGTATGTTGTTCAATCTGTCATTTACAGCTTTAAATAAATATGTCGCTGCGCAACATACGAAAGATTTACGGAGGTAATACTTTGCCAAAACCTGACGATTCCAGCGAAGACGAATATGAGCCTCTTTATGCCAAAAATTCTGTAAAGCCTCAGTTCTCTAACGTAAGTATTAAAATTAATTTTTTTAATGTTTGAAATTATATATAATATAACTTTGATGTATACCACATTGTCTTAAAAAGCACATGTCCATCCTGGGACTAAGCAACTCAAGGATGAGTTGGTTCTGTTCATAATGGAAGAAACACCTCTACACATCCTAACTGATTGCGGACCCTTAATGCGCAAACGTAACACTCATCTGGGAATCTATGTACTCCACCCAGAAGAAGTGACATTGCTCACGGCTAAGCAACACCTTCTATTCATTAAAGACATAAGGCTTAGCTGTAAACTATAGCCAGAGCAGCGATCACAATAGATCTTCTAGGTCGCAAAGATACTGGTCTCTTTCCCTACACCTGCATAGCTGCTAGCGCATCATAAAAAAATGATGTATCCTACTATAAAACCATCAACTTAAATGTAATATGGAATTAAAGAAAATGATGACTCCTTATATTGATATTGTTTTTTAATTGATTTTTCATTTTTCATAAAAAGTATGTACATGTAATATTGTATAAAAAAATTAAGCAATGACTCCATAATGGTATGTTGTTCTTCATTTTAGAGAGTCAGGTTGTCAGGTTAATAAAATTTCATTTCATTCATTTTATTTTCATTTCAAAAATGATCTAGATTTTAGTATATAACCCAGATTTTAGTAAAGATATTATGCAATTTAGTAGTCCAAGATTTCTTAAGCATTAATCAACTTATCAATATTTCTTTGCCATTACCATTAAAAGTGTTAGTGCAAGGGCGAAATTACATATTTTCTGAGCTGTGCGTGTAAATGCTTAAATTATTGCAAATATCGTCATTGGTAAAGTTAAGCTACTTACGTTTTGATCAGTAGCATCAAAACATGATCATGACAGTTTATGCAGATATCATTTTGTTTCCTTTAAAATACAGTGATGCTGATTCATTTCAATCAATCAGGTCTTACTTTTTGAAGTTAGCAACTGAGCAAAACATAATTAGGGTTCTGCATGGCTTTGTTAAAATTTTACATACATTTATGTGCATAAGCAATTATTAGGCAGACTTTTATTTTACTTTCTGCAAAAGCGAAATATCTGAAATATTTAATTACAAATGTCTTTAATTAATGAAAAGTATAAATGAATGTTTTTTTTTTTATAAAATAAGGGTGACAAACGAGCACACAGTCCACCTGATGGTAAGTCTGTGGCCCATAGACATTTACATTTAACCTCGATTAAGAATCAAAATGCAGTTTTTCTAGTTACCCCTGAAGACTCTTAGTCCTGAAGTTGAAGTCAAGAAATCAATAGTCTAAGTAGTTTTGTAGCCATGCATGTAAGCCTTTCGAGAATCTTTAAATATATATAATAATTAAATAAATATATAAAAAAAAATTAATATTAAAATATATAATAGAAATAGGATTCTGGTTGCTCAGTTCTGTTTTTGGTCCCGATTTGTAAATAGTTGTTACTCTGGCTATTTTAAGTGTAGAGAATCGGAGACTCTTTGTACTGGAAAAGAGGCGTTACATCTTAGTCCTCAAGGCTGACAACGCATCTTCATTTTGATTCGCGAACGAGGATAGATATAGATGTCTATGGGCCACAGCAACCACTTACCATTAGGTGGACTGTGTGCGCGCTTGTCATCCATTTCCTATAAAAAAAATATCTTTATCCCAATTTTTTTTAACTGTTAGCCGAAGGAGAAATTGGCCGTAGGGTTTTCTTTAAATTATTGGTAATTATATTCTTTAAATAATTTCTTTAAATTAATTTTCTTATTTTTTTGATAAAATCATTAGCTATTTAAAGTCTATTTTATTTATTAAAAAATGTTTGTGCTGGTTAACGCATATTAAGCATTTAAGTATTTTGTATAATAATTACTTAATAAAAATAACTTATCCTTATATATCGAATTGTGTATAGAAAAACTATGTGTAAGGAGTTAGTGCAAAGATTTATACTTGCAGGGCTATTTTAATTTCATAATTTTCTTCATTGTATTTTAAAGCGGAATTGCCACTGCTCTTGCAGTAATTTTGCAAAACAATCTACGTTGCTGTTCCGGAATTATCTTTGAATTTTAATATTTATAAGTAGCTTAGTATGTAAATTTATATTGTCATTGTATAGTGGATCCCTAAAAAAAGATTAATCACGTTTGGTCATATGTTTAGTTACTACTGAGTTCACCCTCTGAATCTGTAGAAGAATCACCTGAGCTGAATGAATCGGAGTATTCTGAAGAGGTTGAAGTGGAAAAGGTTAAGAAAAAGAAGAAAAAGGGGCGCAAAAATAAAAAGTCAAAAGGTCGTGGTGGGTTGAAATTGGAGGGTTCTGAAGAGGTAATCTTTTATAACACCATACAATTGTTTATGTATGTGCATGACGTTTGCGTACCGAGTAGTAGCTGTGTAAGAATTTCCATTACCCCATATTGTTCCGTTGGTGTTGTAAGGGGCAAAAAAGGGAAACTCAAACAGGAGATGTGCAGAAGCATCCTCCTGATAACAACTCAAAATTTTAAAGAACTGCGGTTGTCGATACGCCCGTCAAGCGCGATAACTGTGATGAAAACCCGCTGTTGGCGAGATTTTACCTTCGACTAACAGATGGCGCTGATTGTCACTTAATTCGCGCTATACAAGCGATTTTTCTGTACCATAATATTGTTGTTTTTTAAAGTATAGTCAGTATATATGAGACAATATATGGCGGAGGTCTATCTTCAGCTGAGAACTTTAATGGATTAATGGATGAAATTTGAATTTAAATAACAGGGGTAAATAATGAACGAGATATTTTATAAATTATTTGATTTTATTTCAGATGGACGAAATAGATAAATCTGTGATGGAAGTAAATGCTCTACTAGGCAAACCACCACCAGCAACTCCTCCTAAACCAGAAGTAAAAATTGACATCGCGCAAGTTCTTTTTGGAGTTAACATACGCAACCTGAATGTTACTTATGAGTTGAGAAGATTATTCGGGCCTGAAGTTGACGATGAAGTCAAACGGTAAGCGGATTTTATGTTCTAACTATTACATATTTACATATTTTTGGCTTATACTTAGTCAGGTCATAAGTTCTGTTCAAAACTTTTTATAAAATGAATGATACACTTTTTGATAATTATATAGAAATTATATATGAAATGAAAGGTAATTTAATTTAGAATACAGTTTTATTTACATTATTCAAAATGCCTCCCCTATTTTGAATACATGCCCTTAATCGAAGCGGCCAATCATCAAACGTAGCATGTACCACATTCATATCTATTTCTGCCGCTGCTTTAGCCAAAGATGCTTGGAGAGATTCCAAAATTTGATGAGGTTTAACGCAGACTTTCTCCTCCAAATGTTGCCATATCTTATAATCTAGTGGGCTTAAATCTGGAGTAGAAGAGGGCCAGTCTTCATGTCCGATAAAGTCAATTCCATGGGCGGTCAACCAGTTTTGCGTGCTTCGTGCCCTATGAGCTGGTGCAGAATCCTGTCCAATGTCTGTTTTTAAACATTGTTTAAGAAAGAGGTTTAAGAGGGCTATGTTTGTTAGGACGGAATTGTTTTTTACACCTTTTTCACAGAAAAACATCTCAGTTAAGTCTGAATATGAGACTCGTTGAACCCTCGGAATACGTGTGCTGGCTTCTTCACTGCTGTGGACATACACCTTATCATTTTATTTATTATAACTTTCTTCGATGTAAATTTTTTTTTAATCCGAATACAAAATTCCGCGGTATTATTTTGATCCTGCGTTCCGCCGTAACAAAGCGCGGGATCTATCCAGCCTAATTTTTTTCAACCGCTCGGTCATAAAATGTCCGGTCTTCTTCATTTCATCTATCCAGTATTCAAAAATTTTAAATAATAAGGTTTTGACAGAACTTAAGACCCAACTAAGTAATTATGTGAAACAGAAATAAGTGTATTAACAGTTTATATGAGGACAAGATATTGGTCTAAAGTTTTTTCGGCTATTATACCGTGTGTGACTAGTGGTTATGCCAGCTTACAATTTAGTTTATTAATCTAATAAAATTCTTGGTATACCTATATTTAACCCCTCCTTACCTTAATTCTTCTTATATACATGTACTGCCATGGAAGGCAATGCTACGATAGCACCGCGCGGGGGAAATAGTTGAAATCGATCAAAAACTGAGAGCGCACAAGGGACATTGTGTTCTTCTATTTCCTTTTGTATGTTTTAATTATCACCGGACATGAAGTCCTAGTAACTTCGCGAGTGTGTATAGGGAGCACCTATTATTATAAGCCGAGACTTGTAGAGTGTGTGATATCCAGTAACTGATCTAAGAGTGTGTATGCTTAACTACGTGGCGGGCCTGCTTTTTAGCTTTTAATAATCAACGAGCAAGGCAAGGCTACCCGCGGTGCGTCATTCTCATCCACTTTCCTCATTCTACTTATTGTATATAGTCCACACACAGCCCAATGAATTTTTATCAAAAAAACTACAGTTACTGGCGCGAAAAACTAATGAGTACTATCCCATCTGATAGTAAGTGGTAATGTAAACAAATTTTGAATGTATATGAAGCTTTCACATTACGAACAACGACAATCTTTTGATTTGTATTGCGTAGTAGCATGATATGTCGATTACGAGGTGCTCACCTGCCGAATGTCTTGTTATCTGATGGTGGAAGAGTTAGGGGAAAAGTTAGCTAAATGTAACTCTTGCATACACTCCACAATATATTATCTAGTATACCGTGAGGCTTCAACCAAATTGAGGTCACCCATAAGCTTCGTAGCACGCCTCTCCACTGAGACAAAAGCTGATAGGTGGCACGAAAGTAGCACTAACATATGACAGCAGTACCTACTCAACATGCTTTTGTAATTAGTTGTGTTAAATGTCTGACGCTGGGCTCAATGAACTGACCAATGTTTAGATTCACAAGATCTCGTTCTTTATGTTATATAAATACATAAATTCTGATAGTCAAGTAGCAATACTAGTAGTCTCTAGTCGTATAGAGATTAGTTCTAGGACATGCGGGAGTTGTGGACACTGAACAGGTCGCAGGTCCGAACAAGCTTGTATGAGATAGATCAAAAAATCTCTATTTGGTCAAATTTTGTAGAGTTATTTATTGAGCGAAAACGAAGTACAGCTCAGCAATTCCTGCGAATTAGCGATTACAATAAATCATACTCATCCCATATCATTCTGGTCGTGCAAAACCTAAATCGCTGCTCGCAACACATAAGTAATAAAGTGAACAAAAGTTTCTTAATGACAGCAGAAGCCTACTATAAAACAGCTTTACTTTAAAATATCTCAATGTTGTGCAGTCCTTCTATTCTCGTTTCCTCGAGGGATAACAGAAATAAATGTCGTTACACAAAAAAGATTCAAACTATACTGTGTAAAAATGGGTAACATACATACATATAATGGTATTATATGTGGTAGGCCAAACTGCATTTGTATTATGGGTGCAACATGATCGGATTGTCTCGAACGGGAAAGGAACATGCTTTTAGAAAATAGCAGCCTAATTCTGCTGTGTTTAATATGGTGAGTGTAAAGAACTGGAGACCCTTTTACTGGTAATGAGGCATTCCATCTTAGTCCTCAGGGGTGGGTGACAACATTTCAATATTGATTGAAATCGATGATAAATGTAGGATCCTTGGGCCACAGTATCCACTTTCAATCACATCGTCTGTATGCTCATTTGTTACACTTACTCTTAAAAAATGTAGTAATATCTTATTATCATATGCTTGAAACAGTTCTGACGAACTTGCAGTCGCTAAATATCAAAAATATTTGTATAATTTTATTTTATTTTGTGTTACTTTAAATTTCCAATTTTATGTATTCAGAAGTGTTTTTTTTTTTCTAGTACTCGTGGACGCGTGCCTAATTTGAGGCGTTGCCAAAAACCAGTTATTATTCCCAAGGCGTCAGATTTTCTCAGATCAGGTAATTTTACTTTACTTAGACTTAGAAGACTTAGAAGTGTTTTATGATGAAGATGTAGATGTACAAGGCTTAGGATAGACAGGCTTCGGAAGTTCTGGGGGAGGCTATTACCCGAAGAGGGGTCCTCAAATATCAGACATAATGTATTATAATTAAATAATATATACTAACTAAAATAAATAATTACTAAAGAAAAATAAAAAAGACTTGTGCAGTTCATACGCGGCAAAATACAATCTTCAAATAAAATGTGTCGACGCCAGATAGTCGACAGTCGACCCTATTGCCTTTCTTATAAGGCGCTTAATATAATGTTATTGTATAGAACCACCAACTGTACATTCAACCAATCACACTGCACAAATACTCAATCCGTCATTCCCCACACCCGACACTCACATTCGTTCTCACATTCCCATTCTAACCGCCGACTAAACAAGACACAAGCACAATACCAAGAATAATATAATTAATAAATTTGTAAATTCAGTCGAATAAATCTTTAAGAAGATCTACGATATCTTTCTTTTGTTCATCGCGAACAAAATGAAATAAAAACGGTTCACAGCAAATGATTTATTTAGCTAAATAATTTTCAACCAAAGCGCGGCAAAATATAAGATGATAATTTAATTTTAAATGTAGTGATTAAATGTTCAATCCTTAGACATGTTGAGCCTAAATTTTATTGTATTAAATCAAAAGAATATTTTATTTTGACTAAAATTGCTTTGTAATAGCGACGTCTACTTCATTCTATAGGTAAAATCATTTTATCGGAAAAATTATTGATTGACTCTTAAGGTGGTCTGTAAATAGACATTGGATGGTTTTAACACGACTAATATAAATCGGTAATATATGAAATCGTTGATTCTGAAAAATGGTTTGGATTTGATAATTTTTTTTCAATATGATTAATTAATTTATAATTACTTGTAATTCTATTTTATATTTAAAACACCGCACACAGATGAGGCCGATATAATAGGAAATACTTTACACTGAACTAGCTGTTCACTGCGGTATCACCCGCGTATATTACGCGTCTGAGCCACGCGACTTCTCTTCGCTTATCGCGCGCCGAGCTGAGTTTTAAATTATTTTAATGTTTCATTATCTCTGAAACTATGAATCAGAATAACAAGCCATAAAGAGCAAAGTTTATCTTCATAAAATTTTCTTGATGATAAAGTAACTTTCGTTCGTAAGGATTAATATGCCAAGCCTTAAATCACTTTTTAATTTTCAATATTTTTTGGTCACAAATAACAATATTGTGGACTTTTGTTACTCACCCCCAATAAAAAGAGTCTTAAAACTTTCCCCTACACTTACAGCAACCAATATTTTTTTAGCTATATTTTTCTTTGTTTTTTGTTTTTGTTTGGATGCGCTTTTTCTTCCGACGTGCTTGACAAAAAGCCGAGAGATGTAACCTAATGCTAGATAGCCTATATATTCCTCGTGAATCTGGTTATCATATACAAAAATAATTTATCAAATCGGACTGGTAGTTCCAGAGACTAGCGTGTTTAAACAAACAAAACACCTCTTCCGTTTTATTAAATATATTATAGTGTTGAGCGAGGAGAGCTTTCCAGAAAATGACATAACTAATCTTTCAACCGACAGCGCCATCTAGTATCGAATTGAAGAACTAAGCTTTCTAGAAGCCCTACACTCGAACTTTCTGCGTCTGGTCGGTCGGCGCCCGCATCTACCGGAATATTCTGGATGTTTCGGTGGAAAATGTGTTTTTAAAGCCGCTGCAAGACGCGATCGGGGCAGTATTGAATTTGGCGAGACAAGCGAAGCTTCGGAGCGAAATAAAGTGAACCAGTGTGATTAATTATTAGTGTTTTTAAGTTTTAATTGGTGTTCGGTGATTAAAGTGTTAATTTTGGTAATTCAGTCGGCAGTTTTTATTGTCACGAACCTCAAGCTCGTAACAATTGGTGTCAGAAGTGGGATTAAATCATGCCGATTTTACCTAAGGAGGAAACGGAGGGTGTCCGTACCCGAAGTCAACGCCAGCAGGAGACGGACCAAAGAAGATTTGGTGGTGCAACGCCGTAGACGTTGGAGAGCCAGCCGCCGGCTGCAGGCCCGTCAGTAGCTCCTACATCTGCAGCACCTGACTTAGGTGCTCTGATGGTGATGCTGCAGGAGCAGGCTTGCCGACAGGAGGAACAGGTCCGTCGGTTGGAAGAGCAGCTGCGGGGTGGATAGGATGAACAGTCCCGCCGACAGGAGGAACAGGTCCGTCGGTTGGAAGAGCAGCTGCGGGGTGGATAGGATGAACAGTCCCGCCGACAGGAGAATGCCTGAAAACTGCGGGGTGGACAGGATGAACAGGCCCGCCGACAGGAGGAACAGGTCCGTCGGTTGGAAGAGCAGCTGCGGGGCGGACAGGATGAATAGGTCCGCCGACAGGAGGAACAGGCCCGTCGGTTGGAATAGCAGATGCTCCTCATAAAGAACCTTCACGCTACCTTCGGGAAGGAGATAAAGGAGGTGAAGGATAGGGTTGCTCAGCATGACAACCGTCTGTCGGAAGCTGAAACCCAAATCGCGAAAGCTTTTTTTTATAAAAGAGGGCAACCGAGCATGCGGCTCACCTGATATTAAGTGACTACCGCCGCCCATGATCAACCGCAACACCAAAGGAATTGCAGGTGCGTTGCCGGCCCTTTAGAAAGGAGTACGCTCTTTTCCGAGTGGCTGAAACCCGAATCGAGAAAGCTGAATCCCGAATCGACCAAGTGAACAATCAGGTTGACAACGTGATGGCGGACGTGAAGAAAACGCTGGACGACCTCAAACTGGGGGATGAAATTACAGTTCCCGTAGTAGTTACAACATTTTCGCTACGTGGGTTCAAAGTGTCGCCGTTTGACGGGACTTCTTCCTGGTCAGCCTACAAAATCCAGTTCGAGTCCGTCATGGAGGCAAACGGCTGGAATAAAAGCCAGGCCATGACTGCACTCACCCTAGGCCTGCGTGACCAAGCCTTAACTGTGTTGGAAGCTCTCGGTAAGAAAGTGACCTACGAGCAGCTGCTTGAAGCATTGGAGGCGAGATATGGCGACGCTCATCTGGAACACGTCTTTCGTGCGTAGCTCAAAGATCGCGTGCAACGCAGCAACGAAAACCTACAGCAGTGGGCCCTTGAGGTGGAGAAAATGGTTCGAAAAGCATACCAGTCTGTACCTGCGCTCATTGAAGTTAACCTGGTGCAGACATTCATCGACGGCATCCGCAACCTTGAGGTCAGAGCTGCTGTGAGGCTCGGGCACCACGAGACGCTTAAGGACGCCGCCCATGCACTGGAGGTGGAAGCCGTGCGGCAGGATCATCGTTCCCATCGCGTCAGGGAGGTTGCAGCAGCTACGGTTCGCGACCGCAACAAAGGATACAGCCCTAGGTGCTATGGCTGTGGGGAAAGGGGCCATCTTCGATCCAGCTGCCCTAAGCGAACCGTAGAAAGGGAAGGTGAACGATATCAGGAGGTTGGTGTGGCTAACAGCCCCGCCCAGCAGCAGCAGAGAAACGAGTAAATGCTAGAACTGCGGGGCGGGTGCTGGCTGATGTCAAAAGAGCCCCAAGGATATCGATCTCACAAACCCATGAGGAAACAGCCTAATTATCAAGGGCGAGATCAACGGATTGCCGTGTAACCTGACCATAGACACTGGAACCTCTCGCACGGTTGTTAGTACCCAACTTATAAGACAGTTCCTTGGGGACTCCGCATACAACCGAGAACGCATTAATTTGGTTACAGCCACCGGTCAGCGTATACCCGTTCTTGGAGAGGAGATGGAGTTGAAGCTAGGCAACATGATCTACCTGCATAATGTCATCGTGGCTGATATAATGGACGACTGCATCCTGGGCTTAGACTTTATGAGGAATAATTGTTGTGAGATCGACGTTAAGCAAGGTGTTTTGAAATGTGGACAGGAGGAACTTTTTATGGAAGTTGCGTTAGCAGGGAACGTGTACAGCATTAAGAAGATTGTTCTTCCGCCGAAATCGGAAACGATTGTGCCGGTTAGTCTTCCTCGGAACCTTAGGCAAGCTCATCGATGTATACTTGTGGAAAGGGTAAACAATGACCTTCCATGGAAAGTAGCTCGAACCTTGGTCAGAACCACTGACATCTCAGGAGTACGTGTGCTGAACCTTTGTGACCAGGAACAGATTATAGAAAAAGGCACACTGGTTGGTACTTGTGAGGAAGTGGATAGGTTACGTCGGTGCCAATATCTATCGTGTGGGACCCCCAGCAAGGATGCACAAACGAGAGCGACCACACTTTTGGAAGACTGTCGCAGTGTTCTCTCCCCGAACGAAATGGTCAAGGCGAAGAAGATGTTACTCAAGTATGCCGATGTATTCTCATCAAACGATGCTGACATAGGAAAGACTGGCTTAGTTCAACACAAAATAAACACAGGAGAAGAATTGCCTATCCGTCAGCGGCCAAGAAGATTGCCGGTAGCACGTGAAAAGGAAATGGAAACCATGATTGAAGGAATGGTGAAGGATGGTGTTATTGAACCTTCCTCTAGTCCATGGTGTTCACCCGTGGTGCTGGTAAAGAAGAAGGATGGCAGCATGCGGTTCTGTGATGACTACTGCCGTCTGAACGACGTTACAAAGAAGAACAACTATCCCTTGCCAAGAATTGATGACACGCTGGACATGCTTATAGGAGTAAAGTGGTTTAGCACGCTTGATCTAAAAAGTGGCTACTGGCAAGTTGAAATTGACCCTAAGGACAAGGAGAAAACTGTGTTCTCGACGGGAAAGGGTCTGTGGCAATTTAAATTAATGCCGTTGGATTGTGCAATGCTCCAGCAACGTTTGAAAGGCTGATGGAGCTTGTACTTACCGGGCTAATTGGCGATGCCTGTCTGGTCTACTTGGATGACATCATCATCGTGGGCCGTAATTTTGAGGAGCACCTTCAAAACCTGGAACGCGTGCTCATGAAGATTCAGAGTGCCAACCTCAAGTTGAGTCCGAAGAAATGTTCACTATTCAAACGGCAAGTCAACTTTTTGAGGTATGTAGTGTCGGAAGAAGGTATCCGCATGGATCCGGAGAAAATCGCCGCTGTCAAGGATTGGCCGGTCCCAAAAGACAAGACGCAGGTTTGAGCATTTTTGGGTTTGTGCTCCTATTATCGGCGATTTGTGAAGAACTTTGCAGATATAGGCAAACCTCTGCACAAGCTAACCGAGAAGCGACATTTCTGCTGGGATGATAGTTGCAATATCGCATTCCCGGAGCTCAAGGACCGGCTGTGAGAAACACCTATTTTGGGATACCCTGATGCAAGCAAAGAATTTATAGTTGACACAGACGCAAGTGATATAGGACTTGGCGGTGTGTTGTCTCAACGGAATGGTGACTAAGAGGTCGTGATAGCGTACTTCAGCAAGTTGTTGTCAAAACCGGAAAGGAACTATTGTGTCACAAGACGCGAATTGCTAGCTGTGGTAAAGTCGTTGCAGCATTTTAGCAAATATCTTCTGGTGCGAAAATTTCACTTACGAACTGACCATGGTGCACTAAAATGGCTATTGCAGTTTAAAAGCCAGAAGGACAAGTTGCGAGGTGAATTGAACTACTGCGACTTGTTGGAATACGACTTTGAGATCGAACATCGCAGCGGGAAATCTCATGGCAACGCAGATGCATTGTCAAGAAGGCCTTGTCCTGAAGATTGCAAACATTGTACTAGGCAAGAGAGTAAGGAAGTGGTATCCGTGAGGATGCTCAGGACAGACCACCTCAGCAACGAGTGGAAGGACAGCTTACAACATGCACAGCAGGAAGATCCGGATATCAAGCCGATTCTGGAATCGATGAAGGCCAGTGCTCCCAAGCCCAAGTGGAGCGACGTTTCAGCGATGAGTTCGACCACTAAAAGCTATTGGGCCCAATGGTACAGCTTGCTGCTTCAGGATGGAGTTCTGTGCCGTAAATGGGAAAATGTTCGGGGAGACAGCTGTCATTTGCAAATGGTTGTCCCTAAAGCGAAAGTACCGGATGTTCTACAGTTGTACCATAATATTGTTCAGGAGGCCATCTGAGTTAAACTACATTTTAGGTCCTTTCAAGTTTTTAACCTTGTATTGAAGTTAATGTGATGCATGAATATTTATTGACTCCTTCCATACTATTTATGGTTGTATGGATTACTTCACTAAGTGGCCAGAAGTCTTCGCCATTCCAAAATCAAGAAGCTTCAACAGTTGCAGGTAAACTAGTTCATGAAGTCTTCTGTCGTTTTGGAGTACCTTTAGAGATTCACAGCTATCAAGGAAGGAATTTTGAGTCTCAAATATTCCATTTGGAAACTTGCCGAGTTATGGGTAATCATAAAACAAGAACGACTTCTTATCACCCGCAATCTGATGGAATGGTAGAACGATTTAATCAGACATTGGAGGTACCTAGCAAAAGTTGTAGACAACCGGCAACGAGATTGGGACAAGCACACACAACCGTTTTTGTTGTCATATCGAAGCGCTGTTCACGAAAGTACATCAGTGACACCAGCTTTCGCAAACTTTGGAAGAGAATTACGGCTGCCTGCAGACCTGATCACCTGATGCCCCGCGCAGTATAACCGATTATGCAAATGACTTGCGTAACAAAATGAATGACATTTATGAGCACGTCAGACAATCGGGCCAGCAAACGTCCGAAAAGATGAAAATCCGGTATGACCGCAAAATGAACAACAAAGAGTTCGACGAAGGTTCACTAGTGTGGTTGCACAATCCAGTCCGCAGCAAAGGGAAATCTCCTAAGCTTCTAGCTAAATGGGACGGCCCGTACCGTATTGTGACCAGGATCAACGATGTAACCTACCGGATACAGAAAGGCGCAAGAGGGACTCCTAAGATCGTCCATGTGGATCGCCTGGCGCGTTATTATGGGACCGATAATGCTCGGGACGAGCATGTCTTAGGAGGGGGCAGTGTTGCGCGCCTAAGTTGACGTCTAGCACTAGCCCCATCTAGTGTCGGGTAACAGAGCGATGAGAGCTTTCCAGAAAATGACATAACTAATCTTTCAACCGACAGCGCCATCTAGTATCGAATTGAAGAACTAAGCTTCCTAGAAGCCGTGCACTCGAACTTTATGCGTCTGGTCGGTCGGCGCCCGTATCTACCGGAATATTCTGGATGTTTCGGTGGAAAAATGTGTTTTAAAGGCGCTGTAAGACGTGATCGGGGCAGTATTGAATTTGGCGAGACAAGCGAAGCTTCGGAGCGAAATAAAGTGAACCAGTGTGATTAATTATTAGTGTTTTCAAGTTTTAATTGGTGTTCGGTGATTAAAGTGTTAATTTTGGCAATTCAATCCGCAGTTTTTATAGTCACGAACCTCAAGCTCGTAACAATAGTATAGATTCTATCTCATTCTCTCGTAAGAGATCTATATATTTGTCTCATTTTAATGTCACTTTTTTGTTTCATTGAGTTCAAATCACACTTCCCCTGCGGCTATCACAACACTACCTTCCTTCCGTCCTTAACGTCGTCGATCCTCTAAAACAATTGTTGCGTAATGACCTGTCCTTCAGAAGAACGAGGCCACAATCTTTTTTCCCACGCTTCGACCTCTCTTCACTTTAGTTTGCAACTCCTTGGAAGGAAACACCTAGATAGCAGACTGTCTTAGTTTCAGAATCATAACAATAAATACAGCTTTCGTCACCCGTAAGTATGTCGAACACAGCATTTAGGTCACCTCCGTTAAATCTTTGAACCATTTCACGACACCAATCAACACGATGGAGTTTTTGGGCCTTTATCAAATTATGAGGTATCCACCGGGTAGAAAGCTTCCTAACCGCTGTTCATGGAGGATTTTGTACACTTGACTAATACCGATGCCTAAGCTTGTCCGAATCTGCTGATAAGTCACTCTTTTATCAGTCTCTATCATACGCTGCACGACACTGATGTTATCTTCAGTCGTCGCCGTAGAAAGCCGTCCCTAACGCAGATCATCAGTGAGATTAGTGCAACCACGTTTAAACTCAATAAACCAGTTGTAACAGTGGCACGAGATAGGGCTTCATCGTGAAAGGCCAAAAGAAGTCTATCATAACTTTCTTGTTGACTTAAATGACACCGAAATTCATAAAAAATCATTGTACGAACATTTTCTCGCGTAAAATTCATGCTAACGTCACACAGACAATTTTCAATTTGCTGCCAAATCGTAAACAAATGACAATTAATAAAATAAATACACTGCAATATGGGCAAAGAGTTCCACGATATAGCTACGATGGCAATCCTTGTACAGAACCAGAGTATGAAATCTATCCAACTGCAGAGAGGTGTAAGACGATGACGTAATATACCCGAAACTCTTCACCGCTGCATTGAAATATGTTTTCAAGCTACTGGACTGAAAAGGATAGGGTATTAACGTCAATGGCGAGTACATCACTCACCTTCGATTTGCCAACGATATAGTCCTTATGGCAGAATCGCTGGAGGACCTAAGGACTATGCTCAGTGACCTCAATGGTGTCTCCCGACGGATAGGACTTATGTCGGTGGTTGTTGGGAGCATTAAGCTCGAAGTTGTTGACGAGTATGTTTACCTGGGACAAGTAGTCCGACTAGGTAAGTCCAACTTCGACAGAGAGGTCTATCGACGGATTCAACTCGGCTGGGAAGCGTTCGGGAGATAACGATACATCTTCTCGCCAGGCATATCTCAAAACCGCAAAACTAGATTGTACAACCAGTGAGTGTTGCCAGTGATGATCTATGAATCTGAGACGTGGTCCTTCACTGCTCGCCGTATAAGGAAGCTCAAGATCACTCAACGAGCGATAGAGAAAGCTATGCTCGGAGTTTCTTTGCGTGATGAACTTAGGAATGAGAATATCAACAGTAGAACCAGAGTGACCGACATAGCCCAACGGATTAGTAAGTGATTAGGAAGTGGCAATGGGCCGGTTATATTGGTTGAAGAACCGGTAACCGATGGAGAAAAAAGGTTCTCGAGTGGCAGCCTAGTACCTGCAGACGAAGTTTAAGGCGTCCCCGCACTAGATGGAGTGACGACCTGGTCAAACATGCAGGAAGTCTATGGATGCAGGTGGCTCACGACCGTGCTTTTGTGGCATTTCTTGGGGGAGACTTACGTTAAGCAGTGGATTTGTGAAGGGCTGTAATAATGATGATATAATATATTCTGTTCTGTTATATTTTATTCTATGAGTATTCTATAAGATGTATTGGATATTGCATACAGTAAGTTATTTAGGTAATTGTGTTTTTCCAAAGCACATCAAAAAAAGTAGCATATTTTGCTACTTTTTTAAAAATAAGTATTTAAATTAATTAGTTTAATATTTATGTTATGTTAAAATAAATAATGTGTTATTTAGGCTATGATAATATTTATTGATTTTATATAAGAATATTTTATACAAAGTAATAATAATATAAGTATGTTTACTTTATTTGCTCTCGACGAGTTTACATTGTCTTATCTTATGTATATGATACTAATTGAGGTATAGCCATGTTAATTTGTGAGAACCTGGTGTTAGTACTAGGAAAGACCTGTATGACTAATCACCAGTAAAAATTTTTATTGCAGAGGGTCCTTCGATGTCCTTGAAAAGTCGTGAAAATGGGTACTCTTACTTCATATTCGATCACAGCAGAGAGTACCAGAAGAAGCATCTCACCTTCTTAATGCTTACCGATCAGAGGTTCGTTTTCTAGAGAGATTTTCTTTTTTATGCTTTAAGGTTGATAAACGAGCACACATTCCACCTGATGGTAAGTGGATACTGTGGCCCATAGACATCTACTTAAAAGTAAACCTTCGATTAAGATTTAAATTGCAGATGCGTTGTCACCCCTGAGGACTAAGATGAAATGCCGCGTATCCAATAAAAGAGTCTCTGGTTCTCTGCACTCATCATACGAAACACAGTAACATTAACCTACTATTTTACGTTGGTATTATGAGAGAGCGTGATCCCTTCCCGGTCTAGCCGACCCATTCGTGTACCAACTGATCAGTGACCGCCAACACGGTTTCCGTCGTGGTCGATCAGTTGGTGATCTTCTGGCCTACCTTACTCATAGATGGGCGGAGGCAGTAGAGTCCAAAGGGGAGGCATTGCCGTTAGTTTGGACATTGCGAAGGCCTTCGATTGGGTCTGGCACAAAGCGTTTCTTTCGAAGCTCTTTTCCTATAGGCTTCCCGAGAAATTGTGAGATTGGATCACTAGTTTTCTTGCTAATCGGAGCATCAAGGTCGTAATAGACGGTGCATGCTCTGATTACAAGCCTATTAACGCTGGTGTCCCACAAGGCTGCGTGCTATTACCAACGCTGTTTTTTTCTGCATATAAATGATATGTTGCAAACTGATAACATTCATTGCTATGCAGACTACAGCACTGGTGATGCCTTATACATCGGCCGTGCAAATATTTCTCGGGAAATCGTCGCCGAGTACCGGGACAAACTTGTGTCTGAAGTCGAGTCTTTGCTTATCAAAGTCTCGGATTGGGGGCGACTAAATCTCGTCGACGACCGAGTTCTTTCTGATCAGCTCTATTCACTGGCGCTGCGTAGGGATGTTACATCCCTTTGCGTTTTCTATCGTATCTACCATGGAGTGTTCTGAGGAATTGTTCGGATTAGTTCCAGCCTGTAAATTTCACGAACGCACATCGCGTCAAAATTCCCGATACCATCCTTAACATCTGAATGTTTAGCGGGTCCACTACTGTACGTTTTACTAAGAGTTTTCTTCCTCGTACAATTTCTCTGTGGAAATGTTTACCACCGGCGACTTTTGCGGACCGATACGACTTAGCTTTTTAGCGAAAAAAGCTTACTCCTTTCTAAAAGGCCGGCAACGCATCTGCAATTCCCCTTGGTGTTGCGGTTGTTCATGGGCGGCGATAGTCACTTACCATCGTGTGAGCCGCATGCTCGTTTGCCCCCACTCCTATAAAAAAAATTAACCCCCCGCAAGGACCAAGAATAATACTACTACTATAATTTCATAGAGTTCGAGATTTTCTCCGTGGTTGGAAATTCAGCCGGGATGATGTCTATCTTATCTGGTCGGATCTTATTATTTAACCAAATTAATTAATTGACACTATTCGTTAGCGTTTTACACACCTAATTCATGGTTTTATGTCTGCATAATCTAAAGGTTGATTGGTAGAGAGAATGTCTTAGGCATTGAATCCGCCAAGCATCATAGGTATGAAGTTTAAATAATTAAATATTAGACATAATTCTCAGAATTATGTCTGCCTATGATTAGAAAATCGCAAAATTTATATAATCTATCATTAGCTATTAAATATGACTCATAGTTAATAAATTAATCTGACTCCACATAAAGAAATGGCCTATACCAATAATTTTACTAAGAATTTATATTAATAAAAATACATTTTTTTACACAGAGTGGGCAATTCAACGTTTACTTCGATTGACGGCTCTTTTATGCATGTCGAAGCTAGATTAGAGGTAAGTTTTATATTAAATTAGTATTGGCCATATTGAATGTTGATTAGCAGTTAGCACCACATGTCAGTATTTTTTCACGTTTAAATAGACTTTAAAATTTCATAAATGTAGTTCTATTCACGGTGAGCGTGTGAGAAGAACTACTTATTTAGCTGTCATGTTATTCGTCTATTCGAATTTCGACCTTAGCTTTATGTATTATTGGTTGAAATTGCCGTACATAAATAAACTAATATCGTAAGAAGTGTTATTATACTGGCGTGTTCAAATTTAAACCTAATTTGTAGCGAACCAAGTTTGAAGTTGTTTAAAAAAATTTAAGTCTCGGGGGAAGTGTGGTTGCCACATTGCGATTATCACTTCCATTTTTATGAAATATTACTAACTCGATTACCTTATCTATAAAGTTTTTGATTATTATTTATGAAATTATTTTAAATGATTTTTATAGAAAAAAAAAACATGTATCACAATAGAAATATTTATGGAATGTAACTCCATATTTTTGTAAATTTTAAGTATTTGACTGCTTTTTGCGTGCGTTAACCGCACAGATTTTTTGAAGACCAGTTTTTATGAACATACAAGATTTTTAAAACCAACACCTTGGCAGAGGGTAATATCATGCGAGGCGAGTCTATTGGGTCAAATGATCTAAGAGTAATTGTTGAAAACTAACTATCCTACTTGTTATCCTTTAATGGATTGATTCTTTACTTAATTAGAATTATAACTGTGGTAATGTATTGACTGGTGCTATAAAATTCCACCTAGTAGCTTTGGACTCAGTGGAGAGACGTGCTAAGAGTAACCTTGGTAACCTTGATTTGTTTAAACGAATCTTTTCAGACTGAAACACAGGTGCAGAGTAGCCAACCATTCCATAGGATGTATTTCTGAGAATGTGCGATGGAATTATATGTTTTACCTTTTACCCTCTCCTTTCCACCATCGGGCAACCAGACGGTCCGCAGGTCTTCACCCCTTTTTTGTCGGTATTCCATTTCAAAGCATTAGAACGGTTTGATGGTAGAAACGGTTTGCTCTAGTTTTTTGTAATGCGTACAGCAACACAAAGCACAGCGTTTGTCTTTCCTGGGACTGGACCTGTCACTATGGGATATAATATATATTATATCCCGAAATATACATTATATCCCACGATTGCCCTTCACACTGTGAGATATATCCTTTAACCAGTGTGCGTTCGTCATTGGACGATCTGAGAACGTAGCGGAGGCGCGGAAGGGTGTGCGGGGTACAGGTGGTGAAATATAATATGAAAATATCGCTGGGTCGAATCAAAAAAATATTGCTTCGGCTATCTGTTACATTTAAAAGTACGGTGAGCGATATTAATTTATATTTCGAGATGTAATATAAATTATGTTATATCCCATAGTGGAAAGTGGGCTTAACATCTTGTGTATCGTTGAAATACGTTGACTCTGAGAACCGCACCGATCACGAAATAAGAGCGGTACTGTCGGCTCCGCACCTTGCGCAGAATTGATTGCTATAACTATCACTTATATCCACGGTTGCTGCAAACAAAATAAAATATGGAATAAAAGGTTGGCTAAATACTAGATGTTGCTTCAACACCACTAAACACGTAGAAGCGTAAATATAAACCGCCTCAATATAAAACATGGTTTATATGTTGTCTCAGACTTTAACTATTGTTTAGAAGGAGCCCTGCTAAATAGAGAAGCCCCTTAGTAGCGACACTAAACTTCGGGATTTTTGACATTGGTTGCCGGGTATTTCTTTAATTAAACAGAGCCTAGTTTAAACATGAGGTTAAAATATAAATTACATTTTGTACAATTAAGTTATTATTTTATTGAATCAAATTATTTTTTATATGTTTCGGCGCTCGTTTAGTTAGCATTAGATGACGGTAATTGTGCTTAATTTATGTTTCTTTTATATATGGAAATTTTAAAAAATATAAGGAATATTTTATTTATTATAAAAATTACTACGAAAATTTTTCTCTTGTAGGCGGCTGACTTTCTATTCTTCGGAGAGGAATATTCCATGGGTAACACACTTATTGAACAAATAATTGCTTACATGCAGTCTGTATTCCATCCATCGTTCAATCTGGGCGACGTAAGTATCTGCATAAAAAGAATATTTTATGTATTTTTTTTGCCAACACATAATTTAAAAATCGCACTGTGTAATGGCGGCGCTACAGAACACATCACCGCAACATATCGTGCCGCGGGTGTCGTGAGAGGTGCCTGTGGCACACAGAAACAAGAGATGACCGGCAGCATGTTTCTGATAACAGTTCATAGTAATAAAAATCTGCTTGGTTAAAACGAGTATCAAATTTACTCTTCAGGCTAACAGATGGAGCATGCAAGCCAACCGATGGCGAATGCTGAAAGCTAATAGAGCTTACTATGCTATGACCTTTTGAAAATGAAATTATGACAATACAATTTCGACGAGCGTGTCTCGAGAAAAGTCTAAAAAGGCCTGGCACTCGAGACAATTTAATTTAGAATAAGTTATACGTCTCGTATTCCGGCGACGTCCCAGAAGTCAAAATATTCCAATTACGACGAAGATCCTATGTGGGCTATGCCTGTAATGGTTAATATTTATTATAAAAAATTGCTATTTCTTTGAAAAGGCATATATATACTATGAATGTGTGTATCACAAACATTGTTATTATTTTTTATTTTATCACAGGGCTTTTGTCTATAAATGTAAATACGCGTCATAGTTAGGGTCAATCCTCATTATAATGCCGTTCACAGTTCGTTCTCGGTCCGATCTCGGTCTGATAAAATATTATCAAATAAAAAATATGTGTGTGCATTCATACTATCCGTAACAGTCAAGTTTAGGTCGCATCCTATTCCATTATAATAAATCAGACCGAGATCGGACCGAGATCGCACCGAGAACGAACTGTGAATGGCAAATATCCTCATTTGCCCTTATGGTACTTACTATCTGTGCGTCTGCAACATCATACGGCATTTCTCCCTATCTCTTTCTCTATCATCTTTTATGACAAGCATGAGAAGAAAGAAGCGATGTATTCTCCTAGTTCACAGAAGCAGAACATAATGTCATACACAAGTTTATAAGTTTTTTAAAAGTTTTATTGCTTTATTATTCGATTTATTTTTATTAATGGTTGTTTTCAGAGAAAAACCCGTTTGGAATACAAATACATCGAGAACCGCCCCTTCCATATCGCCATTCTGAAGTATATACATCTACTGACTAACAAGGCTTGCCACCGAACTGCTTTAGAACTAGCCAAAGTTTTACTGAACCTGGATCCTACCGATCCGTTAGCTGTACTGTTCATCATCGACAATTTGGCATTGAGGGCCCGGGAACATCAATGGCTCGTCGACGCCGTTGCCTATTGGTCGAAAGAAAGAGATGCCGAATACATGTTTAATATTCAGTACTCAAATGCAATGGCCAAATATCATTTAGCCCTTAAAGATTGCAGTAAGTAAATTCTTATAAAATTTTGTTGTAATAAATGCAATACTAGAAGGTCCGTACTTCAAAGTCTTCAAAGTCTCGATGGTTTAAAGTACATAGAGTCGGATTCCATCGTTATTAGAAGGATGTGTGTGAGTGTATGTTCGTACGTTATACTCAACCAAATCTAAGAAATACCTTTTGGCGTTTCGTATTAATCACTGCAATAACTTTGTACAAGCGTACGCGCACGAACTAAAATAACCTTTATGTAAATCAAAATAATTATGAAATTATCTGTATTTTATTCCAATATGTATAGTTATTTATCACTGATTTAATTTCAAATCTTTCAGACAGAGCAAAATACAAAAGAAAACTACCAGATTCAACTTTTATGCTTGACGTGTTACCGTATTGTTTGGATGATTCAGATTTATTCTAATGCTATTCACACTCTAGAAATTAGTTTTAGCAATAGATATGAAAAAAAAACTGATAACTCTTGTGTATTGAGTTATCTGTTTCTAATTTATTCTGGTATTAATCTAGGTAAAACTGTAAATGATTACCAACTCTAAAGAATCGATATCGATTTTCTTAAAAATCGAATATTGTAGATACCTAATTTTGAGTTGGATTGCCAAGACCAATAAATGTAACATCTGTCAAAAGGTATTCTTGGATTTGATGGGGTAACCATTTCGTCATGTATGTGTCGAAATTTTTTGTTCAAATTCACTGTTCTGTGGTAATTGAACTTACAATTTGTCATTTTTTGATTTCTTATATTACACGAATACTACACATTTAATTTAAATAATTTTACGGCTTTTATACCGTTTGACTTTTCTATCAAACATGTACACTGTGTACTTGATGGTAAGTAGATTCTGTAGCCCATAGTCATCTACGTTGATTCTCGATTAAAAATCAAATACAACTACGTGCGATACGTAAGAAGATGGAATACTTCATTTCCGGTATAAAGTATCAAAAATTAAGGGCCAAAAAGTTAAATTTAAATACTGTCGGCATAATACATCGGATAAGGGATTCAATCTAGATGCGATAAGAGCTGAAGAAAGCTTGGATGGAGATGTGCGGACACTGAGAGTACATCCAAAACTAGACCAATAAATGTTTTTTTTTACAAATGTTGTCTTTAATTTTATTTGGACCCAGGAAATATGAAAGATGTTGGTCAAAATGTTATAAAATCTTTAGTTACTTACTTATTTTTTTAAACATTAATTGTGTAATATATTAAAAAAAGGATAGTTAAATGTCAACGATCTCAACTTGATCCTAAACGAAAGCCATTATCGGACATATTTTCAGAACAGAATTTATTCGTAGATTCCAAGATTTCTGAACATGTTGCCTGTGTTAAATACTTGAAAATTGAAAACTAATCCGTTCATTGTTGCCAGGCATCGACAAGAGAGAAGCCTGTGAGTTGTTGCAGAGGGCTATACTTCGCTTTCCGTTGGTGGCGCTGAAATTGTTAGAGATTGTCAACGAGAGTGAACATTCGCGTCTTGCCGGTCATCCCTTGTTCCGCATACCATCTGAACAACAGTGAGGGTTTCAAACAATTATTTTTTTTTTTTAATTTTATTTATTAAACTCTTCTACGGATGAAGAAGACATAGTGCTTACTCTTTCTGTCACTCCTGAGGATAAGCCTTTTCCAGATTCTTCCACAAAGTACGGTCTTGAGCATTCATTACAGTATTTTTCATCGGCTCGCCTCTCAAAGAATCAATGTTTGTCAAAAAAATTCTAGCTTTACATTACAACAAATGTCAAATATCTAAAATACGAGTAAATTAACACTGAGCATATGGAGTCAGCTCAGATTTAATGTTTAAAATTAATTTGATCTGATGTGATATGATAATTAGTGTACTTATGAGGTATGTATTTATGTATAAATACACTAATATAACCTGTTCATGAAAAGCCAATTCACTTAAAGCAACGCATATTTTTATTTATTTATTTAAGCCTTTATGTCTCAAAAAAAAAGAATTACATAACATTAAATATATTACAAAAATTCATTTACATTTACAAAACCAATGAAGCTTCAAAGAAAACTCCAACAAACATTTAGATATAAATTTTTTGGCTAGATTTTGGAATTAATTTTATAAATTATGTTCAATAACTCGAATTAAGTCATTTTTTATAGAACAGGGGGCAAACGAGCATACGGTTCACCTGATGTTAAGTGACTACCGCAGCCCATGAACATCCGCAACACCAGGGGGAATTGCAGGTACGTTTCCGGCCCTTTAGAAAAAAGTAAGCTCATTTTTTGAAGGTCCCCAGGTCGTATCGGTCCGGAAAAATCGCTGGTGGTAAATTATTCTACAGAGAGATCGTACGCGGAAGAAAACTCTTAGTGAAACGGAGGTTTGTCGCGTAGTACGTTCATGAAATTTGGCAGCTGGGATTAATCCGAAAAATTCCTCAGAGCAATCCCCGTGATAGATGCGATAAAATACGCAAAGAGATGCAACATCTCTTCGCAGCGCTAGTGAATAGAGCCGATCGGAAAGCATTCGGTCGTCGACGATTCGAGCCGCTCGGCGCTGGATGCGGTCAAGTGGAAGGAGCTGGTACTGGGGAGCCCCGGCCCAGATATGGGAACAGTATTCCATGTGCGGCCGAACCTGCGCCTTGTAAAGTTGCAGGCGGTGTGCCGGCATGAAATACTGCCCCGCCCCGCTGAGCACACCAAGCTTTTTAGAGGCCGAATCTGAGACTTTGTTCAGTAAAGACTCGACTTCAGACATGAGTTCTCGGAGACGTTTTCCCGAAAAATATTAGCACGGCCGGTCTACAGTGCATCACCGGTGCTGTCATCTGCATAGCAATGAATATTGCCGATTTGCACGCAGCCTTGTGGAACACCAGCATTAATAGGCTTGTAATCGGAGCTTGCACCGTCTATAACGACCTTGATGCACCGATCTGCAAGAAAGATTTTGATCAAATTGCACAATTTCTCGGGAAGTCCATAGGAAAAGAGCTTCGAAAGAAGCGCTTTGTGCCAAACCCGATCGAAGGCCTTCGCAATGTCCAAACTAACGGCCAATGCCTCCCTCCTTGGACTCTACTGCCGCCGCCCATCTATGAGTAAGGTAGGCCAGAAGGTCACCAGCTGATCGACCACGACGAAAACCATATTGGCGATCACTAATCAGCTGGTGATTCTCACGATTTACAATGGATTCCATTGTTTTGGAGAACAAGGAGGTAATGGCGATGGGCATGTAGTTGGACGGATCTAAGCGGTCGCCTTTTTTAGGGATCGGGTGGACGAAAGCCGTCTTCCATGATTTTGGGACTCCGCCTAGTGAGTAGAAGTACCGGAAAAGACGCGTTAAGACCGATGCCAACTCTTTGACTTGTGGATGTTGATTGCTGTGTAAACTGCACCTCCGGCATGGAGCACTCACACCGCGGGATGGTTGGCGGCGGACTCCCCCCGTCATCGAGAGTAGAGTTAGATGCAAAGAAAACTTAGCAAGTGTCGTTTAGTGCGTGCTGTGACTCGTGCGACGAGTCCGTAGCAAGTGCCGTTGTGTGTATGCTGTGGCTTGAGCGTATGAGTTCGTAGCAAGTGTCGTTGTGTGTGTGCTGTGGCTCCTGCGTACGAGTCCGTAGCTAGTATCGTTTTGTGCCTGCTGTGGCTCGTGCGTACGAGTCCGTAGTAAGTGTCGCGTGCGTGCTGTGCCTCGTGCGTACGAGTCCGTCCTGTCACGTGCCAGACACGCACACATGTTACTTTCCGACTTAGCAAGTGTCGTTGTGTGCGTGCTGTGGCTCGTGCGTGCGTACGACTCCGTACTGTCACGTGCCAAACACGCACACATGTTACTTTCTGACTTAGCAAGTGTCATTGTGTGCGTGCTGTGGCTCCTGCGTACGAGTCCGTAGCTAGTATCGTTTTGTGCCTGCTGTGGCTCGTGCGTACGAGTCCGTAGTAAGTGTCGCGTGCGTGCTGTGCCTCGTGCGTACGAGTCCGTCCTATCACGTGCCAGACACGCACACATGTTACTTTCCGACTTAGCAAGTGTCGTTGTGTGCGTGCTGTGGCTCGTGCGTGCGTACGACTCCGTACTGTCACGTGCCAAACACGCACACATGTTACTTTCTGACTTAGCAAGTGTCATTGTGTGCGTGCTGTGGCTCCTGTGTACGAGTCCGTACAAACTGGGGCAAGCCCAAGATATACTTTTGTTTTTTTAGTAGTTTTAAAAATACATCTATCTTGATCTGTCTCCACTCTTCAGTTTATAATCAGTTCTGTCGAGGACGTGTTTAACAAAGTACACCGAAGGCATACTACTGCTAGATAGATTGTATGACATATCAGCAATTGCATACCTTCGATGGCTTTGAAAAAAGCCGTTTGGGTTTGCTTGAGTGAAAAAAAAAGATGTTTACATACAATACAATACATGATCAAAAGAAAAGCATGAACAAAGTACAAACAAACTATGTACAAAAATTAAAAAAAAAACAAACAAATTATTTATATTCTAAATCGAATCGTCTCTTTTTCTTAAGGAAAGATTTAATTACGTCCGCGTAAAATGTTGGTGAACTTTTTAATTGTACCAATAACTGTTTTTCAATCGCGATAATTGATAACTCTGAAAGACGCTCTTTACCTTGTGTATTTCTCAAATAAGTATGTATGCGCTTCAGAGATGAGAAAGCACGTTCCGCGGAGGATCTTGTGGCTGAAATAGTTACGACAAGATAAGCTAACTTTAAAAGTTGAGGAAAGGCCTCTTCAAGACTATTTTCGTTTATAAAGTCAATGAGTTCGAAAACATTGCGGTCTTTTAATTCAGGGGAGGAATACAATGAAATCAATTGGTTTTTCAATGTTTGTTTATCAAAATGGTTTATGTTATTTTCAAATAATGAATCTAATGCCTCTAAAGGAAAATCTGAACGATATTTTTCGAATAGTTTGTTGTTGAACAATTGGAAAAATTTTAATTTGAAAATTTCAGAATATCGGCCATTAATTTCTGAAGATATGTTATCAATTATTTCAACAAAAAGTCGTTTATATTCTGTCTGAGCACAGCGCACATTGCGTCTCAAACGAGGAGCAGAGGTATTTTGTAATGTGTTTTCATAAATGTGATCAAAATCTGACTGAAATTCAGTACGTAACCATGTCTGAAACTCCTTTATTTTATGAATGCAATAATCGACATCAACTTGTGATTTTTGTAGAATATTGTACAAGCAGTCGGTTTTTTCAAATACCCGTTGGAAAATTGAAAGAAAAAAATTGAAATTAAATGAACACAATGTGTTTTCAAAATTCTCGGCGGCCAAGATCGTATCGCCGCCCCAGTACTGCGGATTGTCGCACATATCCGAAAACAAATTAATTAGATTATCTTTTTGTTCGAATACTGTATTCACCATTCGTGACGTATAACGTCCAACGAGTTGCGGGGGCATTAGGCAATTTTTTGCTGCAATGTGCATCATAAAAAGATGACCGTTTTGTGCTGTTATTAAAAAAAAAATTAAATAAAGCCTGAAGGGCTGAAAAAAAGTGCTGACTTCCCCAATCCTGTTACAAGATTTAGATAAAATTAATGCCAAAATGTGTGCATTACACCAAATATACATGGCTTGGGGACAAATATCTTTAACTTTTTGTTGCACTCCATTTCTGACATCGGATATGACACTTGCGCCGTCATAGCTTTGCTCAACTAGTTTTGTGGTGCAGTCATGTTTGTTTAATAATTCCAATATGATATTACAAAGTGTGTCTGCTGTGCGACTTTCAGACACATCTACATACCCCAAAAACGGTCATGAATATCGTTTCCATAATAATATCGGAGAATCAGACACAATTGCTCTCTGTGACTAACATCGGGAGTTTCGTCAATAATAATTGAAACGAATTTTGACAATTTTACTTCGTACTCGATGTGGTTTTCATTACATCAGCGACAGAATGAATAATGTCATTTTGGATTGTACTAGATAAATAACTCGGCCGTTTGTCGCTTTGTTGATATTGTATATGCTTTTCTAACACGAGATCGTACTTCGAAAGAAGCGATACAAGTTCTAAAAAATTGCCTCTATTTAATGAAGTTTTCGACTCATCGTGACCTCTGAAAGGAAGTTCTTGTTGTGCAAACAATATCGAATAATCTTTGAAAACACTACGGTTGTGATCAACACGCATGTTGTGTTTTATAATTTCCTTTGATAACTGGCGCGACAAAGATGTTTCAATCCGATTTTTTCCAAAATTACTAAACGAAATTACCGCATTCATGTGTTTTTGAGAATTCATATGCCTTTTAATGGCTCCAGATAAGTTATTTAAATCGTCATATCCAGTAGTATTCCAAGCCGTTTTGTCGTTGGAAAAGAATATACAACACCAACAGTACAATTTATTGGTATGTGAGCAGCCAACAATCCAATGAGTTTTGTAAACAGATCTATTAAATTGCCGTTTATGGGTTTTACTCGTCTGAGAAATACACAGATCAGGCGTTAGTTTCGGCGAGGATATGAGCTGTTTTCTCTCAACAAAGTTTAAAAATTTTACCTTTTTCTCGCCGATTAGCACTTTAACACACTTCAATTCATCACAAGGAGCACTCTTTCCCTCTATTTTCACTAAAAATCTTTAAAAAATCATAAATTTTAAACTCGCAATACATTCGCTCAAGCTCAACACACAATGCACAAAGTAGAAGTACTTTTTGACACAATGTAAACACTAAACATTGAAATGTGACACGAACTTTCTAACATATCGTCGGCTCGTCGGCGTCGGTCGCGCGCCTCCCCTCTCGACTAACTTCATACCTAACGTGACCATACGTCCCACTTTAGGCGGGACGTTCCCGATTTAAATGTTTGTGTCGCGCTATCCCCAAAATACGTAAAAATGTCCCGCTTTGACAAACAAAAGCGTGACAATCACGCAAACCCTGTCACCCGTGCCATCATTATGACACCGCGCGTACCAGGTTTGCATAGCTTGTCTAGTTACGTGATTATTCTGAAAAGCTACACTTTTTAATTTAAAGTTACAAAGTGACAATTTTTAATTAATCTACAATAAATTATCAAATAACATAAGATATTTCCAATTAGTATTTATTTGATGTTTAGAATTCACTTTTGATCATTAAAAGACTCAAACAACCATGTGCTTTATTTATAAAACTATATTAAAGGGTTCCAGATTGATTTTTAATAATGGCGTAAGTATAATACTAACATATACAATAAGTGTAATACTACTGCTACTGAGAATTTTGTGACGAAAAAACCCAATAAATGATTCTTGACCCGACTCGGGTTTCGAACTTGGGACCACATGATCAGCAATTGCGTTTACTGCCATTAGACCAAGAAGGCAGTCAAAAGTGTTAGAACTATAATAATTTTAAAGGCTTCCCGCTCTGAGGAAAAAATTAATGGTCACCAAAAAGCCGGGCTTTTTAGTGACCATTAATTTGCTCCATACTAATTGCTATTTATACAATCGTAGTTATTTTTAATTATAGAACATTTTGCTACAGGTTAGAAAGGGAGCGATCGCCTTCTCGAAAGTCCGGTAAAAAGTCCACGCGTGCGAGGGAGAAAATCAATCGCTCAATTCAACTCTCCTTATATGTATGACAGCAGTATTCGTAAGGCTACGAGGTCGCTCAGGGTGCGCGGGAAATTTGAAATAGTTTGAAACAGTTTACGAGTTATTTTATTACTTAATATAATTGGTTGATTCATCTTAATGAGGCAAGCCGGACTTTTGGGCTTGTATAGAAGCTTCGCCACTGGTGTCGTTGTGCATGCGTACGAGTCCGTACTGTCACGTGCCAGGCACGCACACAACACATTTTAGTGGCGTACGGTTTTTATAGGAAAGTCTACTATTCTGTTTTTACTATGGTATCGCCTACTAGGTTGCCCTACGTATTCATTTATTTATTTATTTGGATACTCAAAATAGATTACATCAAAACATGAGCAATTGAACATAATAAATGCAAATTTACAAGCTGGATGGTATTCGAAAACACGTGCATATAACATACTGTATCTATTTGTTAGTACAAATCTACCCCGAGCGAGGTAATTTTTTACTATATCACCGACGCGTTGATAAAAGGTTATATATATATAAATCTTTTAAGTATTATTCCAAAATTATCCATAGTTAGCATTATTTGGAAGATAAGTATTTTCGGATGCTTCTTGGTTTGTGAACTTCCAACGAAAAATACTTAACTACTTACTACTAAAACTTGGCTCAAAATCCTCCATATTACTTTATACTTCATATAATGTAACTGTTGGTGGTTTAGGCGTGGCCCAAGAACCAACCACGTCATTACCTCAACCTACTGTTGCTGATATTGATTAATAAGTGCTTTCGTATTTTTGACCAAGTTAACAGTAGTCATAGATTTTTATATAATAACTTATTATAAAGCGAGTGCTTGACCACAATCCGAGTGCAGTGCAGTGTTATAAATTCTCGGAAAAATTATGAAATGGGCTATCATGATTATTATTACATCATTTTATATGTGTTATTTTCTCGAGAAAATTGTTTATTAATGTTTTTTCTTATTCTTCTTCCGTAGAATGTCGAAAAACATAAGAGATCTGTATTACCTTTACGCATCATTCACGTCATCAAGATGGCGGGAGCCAAGTATTCTAGAATGGTTTGTTTCTACCGTTGTGGAAACGGCGGAATTATACAACAAGGAGGTAGAAATACAGGTGCGTGCAATTAATGTTTTACCTTTGTACGACTCAGTTACGATACAACTCTTTTTAAAGATAAATATAATTAAAATAGACTTTTATGTAATAATTATGTTAATTTTATATAATAAAAATCGTACATGGGAAATGAACTTAAAATTAAATTGTATTTTGTAAAAAAATTAAAATATATTTTCTGCGACTATAGTTAAACGTGGAGCTACATATTTTAATTGTTTTTATTTGATGAATAACTGATAATGTTCATACAACTACACTACGGCTACGGGCACGAAATTAGCGACAATCGAGCGATGGCGGTCGCAGGATGGCGTGATGTAAATAAAAGAAGAAAATAAATGACAGAGATGTAAATAAAAGCATAGTTTAATATAGCGACGCGCACGAAACGCTGCCCCGCTACCGCCATCGCTCCACCGTCGCTAATTTCGTGCCCGTAGCCGTAGTGTAGTTGTATGAACATTATAACTTTAATGGAATAAAAATCTAAAATTGTGATATGGATCAAATCAATAATACCATAGTTTAGACCTTACAGTTGTGAAACGCCTTTGATTTCAGGCGATGTCACGGCCCGCGTAAGTATTTACACGGCCCGTTTGTCACGAAAAAGTAAATAATAGAACTTTCGGTATTATAAAACCATTATCATTTATTAACATTATGTATATACTTATTGGTTAAAGCATTTTTTAAATATTTAGTATATTTACTACAAGGAAAAATACATTTACAAGTGTTGCACTACAAATTTTCTATTTATATTTTCTATTTATAGATGTTTTCAGTTTTCGATTGTTAAATTTTAGTAGTGTATTGTTACGATAAACAATTTTATCAAAAAAATGGGAGAAACATAAGCATGGCCGTCATTTGAATTCAATTTTACATATAACTAGGTAACTCATATAAGTATAACTGTAATTCACCATATATACTTTAAACACGCACGCGCCAACCGCATGTATTGCCTATTAGACTCAGTGGTCAGTGCAGTGCGCTAGGACAAGGTCGCCCCGCTCCCTTATCCGCAGTACCCCCACCGTCGCTCTGCACAAGTACATATGTTTCCCAACTGTAAGGTGTTTAAACTGTGGTAATACTTAATTTAATTATACATTTTCATTACATGGATATTAATGTTATTATACATCCTGCAGGAAGAGGCGAAGAGATTAGCCAATCAATGTTCCAACTTATTCCGCCAAATACCGGATCAAGTACAAAGGCATATTTGTGTTATCAGATCGATGTCTAACTTACTTGTCGAGGGGGTTAGTATTATTTTTTTCATTCGTTCATTAAATTATAACAGCCTGTTAGTTACAGTTCTTTAAATATAGCTTGATTAGAATGACAGCTGTTATTCTGATGTGACTAGTGCTGGGAACATTAAATCGATACATCGATAAAGTATTCATAAATATTAATAAAAAATATGTACCCAACACTTATCTTAACCAAGTATTTAAGCAATGGTACTCATTTTGGTCTAATAAAAAAAATTGGCAATAATAAATTTATTGACACAAAGGTCCTAAGTCACAATCATCATCATCGGAATCAGAGTCGCTGAAACAATCTTCAATATTAACTATTAATTCCTGATCACACGAATAATCAAAGCAGACATCAGGTTGCCAATCTTCTGTGATAATTCTTCGCGTTTTATCGACCACTTACTTCCAATCATTTGGTGTTACGTGTTCACATGCATTGTTCAGCAAATTTAAGACTTTATTTCCGTGAACTGTGGGGTGTCATGCTGCATGACCTAAAACGAAAACGATGCGTTAATTTTTTTAAATTAGTGATGCACTAATTAATCAATTTCATTTAAATATTAAATACCCTTAACATGCGCCCAATATAATTCTGTTGCGTTGTACTGGCAATGATACGGTAGCAGGTGGATAACGGTAGGTCCCTATTCTTTTGCCATCTCATTCAAAACATACATTGACGTTTGAATCTTTTGTATTCCCAATAAACGCAAAAGTTACTTTTCAACATAGTGCCGTCGGCTTGTACTCCCTTGGTTGGCAACCACGACATTATTTCATTTTTCCGGTTATTCTCTGTCGGACGTTTATTTTTTGAACTGGGATTAGTATAGGGTACATTGTCCATTGGTATCGCATGGGTTTCATCTAAATTATTTAGAAGTTTTATAAACCATTACTTTTTATTGGTACTCCGTCGCCTTGACAGACTTGAATGCTAGTATTCGAGCACTTAACCCTATAGAGACGTAATACAAGGCGACCCGAACCTGTCAACTCGTCAGTGACTAGTCACTGATATATTTCGGAACACTTTTGTCTCCCGCCAGTAGCGACCAAAAACTAGAACCGAAGAGACGGCTTACATTTAAAATATAAATTAAAATCAATTTACGGCATCATGTCTTGTTTTGTCGTTAAATGGTGCGGAAACAACAGTAAAACATGTAGTGTAACAACAAACAATATTACTTTTCATCGGTAAGTACATTTCTTTATTTTACCAAAATATTTTCAACATTTTTAATACGCAACGAGGGTCAAGTTAAACTGGAGGCTCCGCCACGCGTCATTCCCCGTCCTTTTTGCATTTACTGCAAACATGTATGTCTATCTCTCCTTATCCACAAAATGATTATTATATTTACATAATTTGTTAATATTAATAATAGACAGATATATAATATATTAATATTATATATATATATAAATAAGTGGTTGCGCGGAAAACCATTCGTATTTTATTTATATTTGACGGTAGGCTTGCCAAATCCTATCGACACATCGGGGTGGTGGGGTGGGAGGGGAAAGAAGATGATTCTAGAATATCACGCGATCATCGCAACCGGAGGAATAAAAGGCGCGCGCGGCCTACGTGCGTCTCTCTTCCCGTCGCGCTCGTCGTTGGAACCACACCGCTTAAGACAATAGTGTCATAGAAGGGCTATTGCCCACGCGCACCGCTAGTATAACCGCTTTAGCCTGGAAGCAGTCGAGCTCCAGGAAACCCGCCTCACCTCGTGTGAGAAATAGTCGCGCACCGCACTCTCTCCCGACGCATCACCGGACAAGAAAGCATCTCTGGGGCCTCAGAGAGTCCACCAGAGGTCACACCGCAGCAACATAGCGCCCAAGCCACATAGAAGCAACACCCCAGTGAGTGAGCATTCCTACTAGGAACTAGATATAATTGTGTTTAATAGTTAATCCGCTCCAATTTTCATTTTCTCCTAATCAAGCAGGATTCCTTTCATAGATTTGGCAAATAATAGTTCGTTTAGGGAAGAGCGAGTGCATTGTATGGGAAACCGCGTGCTATAGTCGCCATTTTGTGTAAACGAAGAAGCATTTCGCATATACAGTCCATTTGGGTTTAACATCTCGCGTAATAGGCTCAAGGCTCGACCGGGGAATTGGACTTCGGTAACCTTAGGCTCGTCGCTCCACCATTTAGTATACTAAGAGTATTATTTACTACTACTAAGATTATTATTTACTACTCTTAGTAACACTTTATAATATTAATTATAATTATTCTTTTCTTGTGAGTATGATTTTTCCCTATAGGTTTCCAAAAGATGGTAATATGAAAAACAAATGGATAAACGTTACAAAAAGAGAAAATTGGTTTCCATCAAAATATAGCGTCATGTGCTCAAAATATTTTACTGAGAATTGTTTTTTGATGAAAAACAAGAAGCGGCGACTAAAGAGAAGTGCAGTACCTACGCTGTTTTTGCCTCAGATGCAATACCTGTATAAAGGCTTTAGTGTCATTAAAATAAAATAAAAAGAGTCTCATATTCTACAAAGATAATGGAGGGTTAATTTATCCCTCACAAATGGTCGTTAAAATAAGTCGGCGTTGCGAGTCCGTAATCAAGAAAGATTTTATTAATAGTGACTCTAAAGGAAAAATCACCGCTGAACTGTTGACCCATAAAGCTCTTAGCAGCTTTACAGAAGAACAATTATTCCCGGAGTTTACACATCATCAATTTTACGCCAAGGAAACCAATCATATTATTGATTTAACGAAAAGTATAATGAATAAATATACTGACACAAGAATGACATTTATACTTAAAAATCAAAAATTGGAAGGAAAATGTGCAGTTAGGAGAATATATACAAAATTAATTCATTTTAAAAATCCATAATAGCACTTAATAAAATAAATATAACAAATAAACATGAAAATCTTTTTTATTCTATTTTCAATCTCTCCGTACTGCCTCGTAGTGCCTCGACCTTGAGCCGAACTATCTTGCGTATCTCCTACGGGGCTTTTTTATAGGATAGGGTAACAAACGAGTACACAGTCCACCTGATGGTAAGTGGTTGCTGTGGCCCATAGACATCTACATCTATCCTCGATTACGAATTTCCAGTAAAAAGAGTCGCCGGTTCTCTACACTCACCATACGAAACACAGCATAAAGCTATTATTGTATGCTTGTATTCTGTGAGAGCGTGGTCCTTCCCCGCTCGAGCCGACCCATTCATGGTACAACTATACTACTAATATAACTGCAGCATGGCTCTACCACGTATAAATATTTTAATTTTTATGTTAAAGTAATTTTATGTTAAAGTTCAACAAATCACTAAAAGTTTATTTTAAACTCCTTTAATTTAATCTTGAATTTTTTTCGAAGTTGGCATTACCTGAGTATACTGCTTGAAAAGTTAGTACATTTAAAATTGTATTTCTTAGTTGCACAGGAAAATTGAAGTCACAGTCGAAAGCTAGTTACTGATACTGAAAGTATGTATTAAAAAAAGCGAAAAAATTTATCAATATCGATAGAAAGCATAAATTCATTACAATGCACGCCCTAGCGATCATGTTCGGAATCTTCGGAATAGTTCGGAGTACTTCGCAGCGATCACAGCTCCCCCCGCGCCGCAACTAGTTGAAAAATTGTTTTCTTTTAAATTCGCATGTATTACTTCTCTATAGGGTTAAGTGCTCGTAGATGCTAGTAAACAATTTGGTACCAATCCAGACGAGGTACCAATATGGCAAATTATTGACCTTTGCCTTTAGGTACATTGGTAGACGATTCGGGTTTACCATCAGTCCAAGTTTTAAAAACCGTGTGGTTTGTATTCAGCCGTTTCATCCAGGAACACCATTTTATCCCAATTATCAATATCTATCACTTTTCGTAAAAAATCAATGCGTGCAAGAACAATGCCGTTACGTTCCATAATAATTTTTCTTTTGTTACTCTTTTTATAATAGATTCCAATTTTATATTGTTGATAAAGATGTTAGGCTCCCACTGAACAAATTTGCATCTTACTGAGAAACTGCTAATTTTGTTAATGTTGGCAGCTCATTACGTTTGTAGTATGTATAAATGTGAATACGAATTGTTGCGGCATCGCTATCGTCTATATCTGTTACAGGGCAACGTGTCTCTCTTTTTATTTAGAGTAGATAGCTTATTCTCCCCTTCCTGTCTCCAAATCTTTACTATTCTAATCACAGTAGCTCTTCCAATTCCAAGAGCATCAGCAACTCTGTCACACCAATTTCTCAATTATATCTACAATAACGCTAGCTGTAACCGAATCATTAGTTTCAAGTCATATTACAACTAGTGATTTTTGTAAATGCGTTACTTATTACTGTTAACCGTGATTGTTGCGAGAGTCGACTGTCGGTCAGTCGATCGCAAAGCGCACATGTGTCATACAACAATAAAGAAAACAGCGTATGTAATAGTATTATTGTACGTTTAATTTAAATACGTAAGACTATAGACATAGACAATAAAATAGAGAGATCTCTGTTTGTAAATAATTTCAACGGTTTGCGATTTCGGGAAGCGAGAGTCACATTGGATTTAAGTAAAATAATTTTTTAAAACATTTTTTACGGAGTCACGAACTCGTTTATTCATAAAACTAAAATAAAACTAAAAAATGTGTGTAAAAAATTTAAAAATTTAAATTTTTACAATATTATAAGATTTAATAACTGTGTGTAAAAATAGCAAAACAAACGAAACAACAAAAACAAATGATAGTGAAAACGTTGAAAAAGTGTAAATAAACTGTATATATCAATAATCATTGTATATACAATCAAACTGACTTGTAAATACGCCTACATTAATAATTTTATGAAAATCTTAGTTTCATAGTAAACGCAAATCAATCATAAATACATTTAATGCAGCCAGTCCTAAACCTGAATAAGGTATGAAGGGAAGTTAATTTATTGATTTAACTGTATAGCTACAAACACTTAGATAGTGATTAAATTTATTTTCGTTTCGTGTGTAACTGTATAGTTGGTGGTGGTATTTATCCAAACAATCACAGTAGCCGAATAAAAATAGCCAGTTACAAAAATCACTAGTTTTGAAACAGGTGATGACAACCAAGTCACTGGTTTCGTTACGTTTCTTGAAAATGACGTAACGACCCACGTCTACTTGTGACACTGGCAACAGCGGACCGCCATTTTGGTATTCACTTTCAAAATAGTCACGCAAATGAATCACAAAATCGCGAGATTCGTTATTTAAAACAGTTTTTCTGGTTATTTTTGGCATTGTAACGTCAAAAAGGCTGTAACAAAACAATAACAAATAGGAACAACAAATACTCAAAACAACGAATAAAACGAAAACTGGGGAACACAAAGCGTTTACAAGACGTCTGGCGTCGGCACTCGTACTGACTGATGCTCAAACAAACAGAATGGCTGCTCAATGTGTTCAGTGTTACCAATATTAAAAAAAACGGACGTCTGATTATTTTTAAGGAAACTTTTTTTGAAACATTAATTGAAATAAATTTATTTTTTAATAAATTCATATTTGTCGATTTGTTCCATCTTGTAACATTATTGCAACTTGGGATAACCTTCTAAGGTGGGAGTAAATTGTTTGGCTTATGTTTTGTAATAATGAATTAATACGAACTGGTTTAATTTTAAAGCCAAATTTATGTGTTATGCACATTTATAAGTTAAGAGCTATCATCAGAAATATTGTTCACTCGCCAGAAATTAATGATTTTTCTTTTTCCAATATTAATCAAATCACTCGTTACATTGGGTGCTACTAAAAAGTTATGCCGTCACTTTTGATGACAGCTGTCATTCTAATCAAGCTATATTTAAAGAACTATAGTATTCGTCTCTGTCATATCTGTAAGAACTATAAGTCTGTACGCTATGTCTTAGCACCGACTTAGTATGTGAATTTTTGTATTCTTTTTAGTATTCGATGTCCGATTTATCTGTTTTTTGTATAATCTATACTAAATATATAAAATATGTGTTTGTGTTTGTAGGCTGTTATGCCTGATGTGCCTTTAACACGCTTCTCGGACCCCATACCACCCATTACTACCGTTGACCGCTACGGTTACGCAAGGCTGTCCAGTAACTACTCTAAGCTGCAACGATTCCTTGGGTGGTATGTATATTTTATCGTTTTTTTATCATCCCCTCTTGACCAATCTACATTAAAAAATCAGTAAAGATTTTTAAATTTTTAATTTGGAAAGAGCAAATCCATCTTTTATAAATTTATTTTTCTTTATATTTTATTATACATGGTGTTTGGTGGAGGGTTAGACAAACTTGGTGGGCTTGTAGGTGGACCTATTTTTAAAATACAAATTGAAGTAGAAGAGGCTCTAATTGCTCACATTTTTTTTTTGTAATTTTCTAATATTTTCCGAAATTTTACCGTTTTATCTCTACATTTTTGGTACATGTTTGCGATTGAACTTTTTATTTGATTTTGGTCCTAGATGTATCCTTGATCTATCGAAGGCATTGTTAATCAAAAATAATGAGTAAATAATTAGTTACGGGCTCTCAAAATAAAAAAAAAGTCCAAAAGGTCAAAAACAACAAAAAAAGTACTAAACGTGATCGAGGAGTTCAAATGCTTTTAAAAACTTCTCAAAACGTTGCTTATTGCGTTGGTGTATTACATGTAATAGAAGGGTCTATCAACATGTCAAATATTAACACATAAGGAGAAAATGGAGTAAAAGCGCTAAAAATTAAACATTGTAAATATCACTTCCCTATTTATAATACAACGGTACGCTAAATTAGTAAAAATTACCTTCAGTAAATTATGATTTCTTATCATACCTAGGCATCCAACTGCAGTCTTTGAAAAAAAAAAAGGAAATTGTAATTGGTGCGAGGTAAACGTTCCAAGAGCAGTTAAAAAGCTTTTGTTTGTTGTGCCGCATTCTTCTGTATCTTTCTGTCATGGGATATTTTACCCACAATCCTTGCCTCTGGCGGTACTGTGGGCCCGGTTTGTTTAAATGTTTAGTCGTGATTTGACTGCGGTTACTGTGAAACATATCCAAGTTATCGTACCCATTACATTTTTTAGTTATTTTGTTATTACCTAGTTCTGTTAAATTTCTTTGTTGTCACAATGGCGGAATTCAGCAACGAAGAATACGCTGAAATTATTTACATACATTTGCAATACACGTGCTGCACAGAGACTGTACAGAGAGTTGCGTCTCAACAAACGTGTGCCACACCACAGCCAATTTTCTAATACCTTTCGGCGACTTCGAGAAACGGGAAATTTAACCCTTCGAGAACCACGAGTCAGTGCAAAGCAGCACCAAGTTTCTGTAGACGAAGATATACTCTAAGCGTTTAACGAGGACCCACTACCATTATTCGAAAGGTGGCCAGAGATCTGGGTCTTTCCATATAGAAAGTATGGTTTATCGTCAATGTAGATGCATCTTTTCCACTACACTCCGGTGCAAGGTAAATTACTAAATTTATCTAATCTAATGGAGTTCATTTGTCTTAGTTCGAATCAATAAGTAATTCAAAAAATCATTTTGTCTTCATCTGCCCTTGCACAAGAATTCTTTTGTTTTTTCTGTTTCATGAGGTCGCACCCACCCACAGCACTTTAACCCATTAAAAGTTTGTATATAAAGACTACTTTTCTATGAAGAAGTTTAGCACTATATAATTATTATGAAATTTTCTATCCTCTCTAATGCAATAAAAAAACTGTTAATCCTATGGATATTTATTAGATTAATCTACGTTCATTTCGTACGCGTATAGTACAGTATTTTCGCGTGAATTTTATTGTGTTGATTTTTTAATTTTTCTAGTGTTTTATTGATTTTATTGACCGCTCGGGATTTGCCGGGCGCATGCAACTGCATGGGATTTTTATGGGAATTGAAGGGTTAAAAATAAGGAAGATGTTTTTGAAGAAAATTTATAATAAAAAATGTATATTTTTATTTTTGTATTTTCCCCATAAACCATTTTTTGACAAGTTGATAGACCTTTTTGTTACATGTAATACACCGATGTAATAAGTGATGATTAGAGAAGTTTTTAAAAGTATTTGAACTCCTCGATCGCTATTAGTTCTTTTTTTACTTTAAGAGCCCATAACTAATTATTTACTCATTATTTTGGATTAAGAATGCTTTCGATAGATCAAGGATACATCTGGGACCAAAATCAAATAAAATGTTCAATCGAAAACATGTACCAAAAAATTATAGGGGTAAAGAGGAAAATATCGGAATATATTAGAAAATTACAAAAACAAATAATTAAAAAAAAGTGAACTATTAGGATCTTCTACTTCAATTTGTATTTTACTAATATGCCTACCTACATGCCCACCAAGTTCGTCTAACCCTCCACCAAATAACCTGTATGGATGTCTATTTGTTTGTCAGCCTATCTGATAGCGCAGGATCACTTTCATTTAATTTCTTCTTATTTCATGGCATATAGCAATACTTAGAAGGGAAGCTAAGCTTTATTTCAGCCGGTCAACATAATACAAAGTGTAGCACAATGCTTGCAATCCTTGATGTTGCATCCTGTTGCATATTCTATCGCTTCTACCACGAAGAGTGCTTAGAGAAGTTGTTTGGTCTAATTCCAGCCGCTAAATTTCGTTGTCGCACATTGCGAGAAAACAAACGATGGTCTATACCGGACATTATATAGGGGCCTCTTAACACATCTAGAATGTTCGAGTACATATCGGTCCCGACTAACTAGGTGTAGAAGTTCTGCTACTCGATGCTAGATGTCGGTAGTGGCCATGTACCAGACATTAATTATGGCACGCAACAATACCGGATGTTTGTGAAACGCTCCCGAAAACGAAGATAGACGATAGTTCTAAGGATACTTTTGATGTTGAGATGAAAATAAAATCGACCCCGATGAAAAAAAATATTTTACAACGTTTATATAGCTTTTTTCACGCCCTATCATGTTAGTACAGCTAAATGAAACGATAATTGCATAAAAAAATCAAGAGTATACCTAAACATAAAACCAGTAGTGAATATTGACACTGAAGGACACTTCATTGTCGGTGTAAGTGTAATATTCACTACTCCATATCATCCCGTGGGTGTCGTAAGAGGCGACAGAGGGAAACAGGCAGGAGATGGGCAGCAGCATCTTCTTAATAACGACTAAGTGTGGCAACTATAGCAAATATCCCACCATCAAGGCAATCTAGGAGGGGAGGCCCATGTCCAGCTGTGGACATTCATAAGCTGTAACGGTAACGGTATGAATGTATAAATAAATTTAATACTATAATTAATTTTTCACCACACATACAGGGATAGTGACGCACAACGGAACTTTCAAGTAAATCTAGAGGACGAAGAAAATAGACGACCGGGCAGTCTCGGTGCGTTGATCACGTCGTTCTTCACATCCTTACAAATCAACGAACAGTTGGGGAACGTAAATGCGAACGCTCTGGAGGATACCGACGATAGCGATTTTGATTAAGAATTAACAATTTTGTATGTCTATTTTAATAGATTAATGTGACATTCTATTGAAATATTCTATAAGTTCATATTATTGAGACATTCAATTGTACTTCCTTTGCCAAAACAATTTACAAAGTTGTACATCATTTTAGGTTCTAGCACCTTTGATATTCTTCTGTCTACTTCATCTTCGACACAATCTTCTCTATATATTTATAACTATTATTTTTATGCTTTATGATATATTTGTCTGTATCGCCTGTTGAATGTACAATTAATTATTAGGCTATGTTTCTATTAAATTCAATATTAAATTACCTTTTTTTTATTGTAATGAGTGCGTAATAAGTCGAAATATGTAGAATATATAATTAAACAAACCATAAAAATATCTAAAAAATAAAAGCAATTAGTATACGATTTTCCGTGACGTGCTTATGTAATAACATATCGAATGTTGTTTATTTATATTTTTTTTTTGTTTAATGTGTGATAGATATTTCAATGTAAATAGATTCAGCAGGAGTGTAACGAAGATAATGATAAAGTGACTAGGAAAGATGTGTAATATCTATTTAATTTATTTGATTTCATGACCATTGATGTATTAATAATATTAGTTCTTTATCTATGAAATTGGGGTATTATATGGGAAAATGGAACTATATTTTACAAAAAATAATTATCAAAATATTTCCTTAAACACATAACACATTCTTGCCGTTTTATAGGCAGTTTGTTGACGCGTTGCTGATTTTTGTGAAGTTTTCTAACAGGTCTTTTGTTTAAATATAGTAATAATGCAGATAAAGCAAAAGCAAATGAATAATTGATTTTGAATTTTTATATAAAACATTTTATGACTGGAGTTACAAAATTTCTTAAATAATTAATTCTAAACCCATTGCTATAAAGCTTAAAGTGTCCTATTTAACGTATCATCAGATTCATTTATGTAATATTTGATTTTTATATTTTGAGGTGTAATTTTATTACATCTTTAACATTTATGTTTAAATTAAGTACATATTATGTACATTTCATTATTGAATGTTTTATAAATACGTGGTAACGTGCTAAATTATATAATATACATAATAATATTTATAATAAACATACCTTCAAAGTGCATAATATTTTGCATAGTGTTGATTAATCTATTCGTGCTTTATTCCACCACTACTTTCTCTGCAATAATAATCAAATTACGCCACAAAATTTGTATTTTGTTGTTAATTGTCATGGATTTTGTTTAGTTTTTGTCTCAAATTTTACGAGGCTGGCGTCGTTAGAGAGTAATTCATACTATGGCGTATAGTATTTTATTACAGATTTAGTTGAAATACCGGTGCCCATGAATGAAATTATTTCGCAGGTAATTTTTGAGATATGCTCATAACACATGTTAGAATTAAGAAAAATATTAATAAAAGCGTGGAGTGTTATATGGCGGGTTATATAGGTAATATGTTGTTTGTGTTGTTAATTATAGATATTTAACTTTGATGCTCAATAAATACAATTTCATGTCGTTTCGTATTATTAATATCGTGAATGTCATCAAACAATATTATGTCAACTCTTAGAAAAAAAATAATGATTTTGGAATTCAGTGTCAATTTATGGATGTTTGTGTTATAAAGGTATTCTGTATTTGATGTATTTATAAATAAAAGATCAAAATCCACTAAGTGTTTATTTTCTAGACCTCACCTCTACCACTATCGTTATTAACGTGGAAAAATGTAGATAAATTTATATTTATTTATTTATTATACCGAAAATACATAATATACAATCTGTTAGACCTGATGTATTTTCGATAGTTGTACGAGGTATTTTATGGAAAAATATTTAAGTACTGTGATTTTTTTGCGCCCGAATCAAATAAGGGCAACACTCCAGTAACGGAGGAGGAAGGTGGTGAATGCTCATAGCATACCACACAGCCGGCTGTGTGGTTATCTGGAGACTTTCCCACTAAACACCACCTTTTGGGGATTGGCTTAACGATCTAGCGAAAGATCTTTAAGCCGTAAACGGACGCGACCCTCCTTGGCTGAAAGGATTTCTAGATTTTGAGATGATTCTTTTTAAATCTTAATCACAAATAACTATACTATTGATTGCAGTCTTGAATCCAATAATTAATATTGTGGGCTTAGTACAAAAAAAGCTTAATTAAGTCACAGTTAAAAACGTTTTAACACAAAATTTTGGCGCCTAGTATTGCTACTTATCTTTCCATAACATATCAACAATTTAGAACATAAACTCGAACAATACAATATCAAAGTATGATAATGATGCCCTATTGTCATATTACGGCAAAACTTAACAATAATGAAACACTAGGAAATATTGTACTTACATTTATTTTTTCTTAAAACTAAAATGTTGAAATTGCTTGCCTTCGGCACGAATACAGGCTCTGCATCGCCTCAGAAAAGATAATTTCACCAATGGTGCGTATCTCTTCGAGTTTATTTCCTCTGTGTGAGCTATTTTGCGGCGTAGTTCGGCTAGATTTTGTATTGGTTTCCTGCTTTATTTTGTCACCTTTTTTAAATCATTAGTTAGTTTTTACGTGGTAGAGCCATGCTGCAGTTATATTAGTAGTATAGTTGTAGCACGAATGGGTCGGCTCGACCGGGGAGGGACCACGCTCTCACAGAATATCAGCGTCAAATAGTAGCTTAATGCTGCTGTGTTTCGTATGGTGAGTGTAGAGAACCGGAGACCCATTTTTACTGGAAACGAGGCATTCCACCTAAGTCCTCACGGGTGACAACGCATCTGCATTTTGATTCGTAATCGAGGACAGATGTAGATGTCTATGGGCCACAGCAACCATTTACCATCAGATGGACTGTGTGCTCGTTTGTCAACCTATCCTATAAAAAAAAAAGTTACAGCCTATATACGTCCCACTGCTGGGCACAGGCCTCCCCTCATTTCTGAGACGGTTTTAGGGCAAGGAAGTGTCCTCCGCGCTGTCCCAATGCGTGTTGGCGAACTTCACATGTCTTCGAAATTTTTTTCTTATTTCTCAGACATGCAGGTTTCCTCACGATGTTTTCCTTCACCGCCGAGCACTTGGTAAATCAGCACTTAAAATTGCAATTAACAATTTCATTGGTGCTGGCGGGGATCGAACCCGGTTTGCTCGCGTACTGTGAAGTTTACAGCGAGCGCTAACCATCTGAGCTACCACGGCTCTTTTAAATCATTATGAAAGTTAAAGTTTTTCCTCGCATAGTGAATTATGATGGCCAAAACACGATTGACACATTTCGGCTCGATACAAAAAAATCGCAAAGTTTCCTCAAAATCTACAATTTTAGGTACCTCCATTAAGGAAAAAGCGGTTTCATTCGAATGTAATTAAATCAATTTCAATTAAATTCTGTCTATGTGTTCACCAGTAAATACAAACAATGTTTTTAAAAGGAGTAATAAATACTTGATTAATCTTCCTACAACTAAACTACAGAAATGCGAAATAATTATTGATTTTGATTGAATTTTAGTATTTTATTGCAATACTACCTGTATTGCAATATGCCCCGCCTACCTACCGCGTCTAAATGTGAATCTAAACCATCTAGGGACCCATTTAAACACTCACAAATTTTATCAAAATCGGTCAGGCCGTTTTTGTGTTTTATGCCCGACACACACGATGAGTTAAACTGAGCAGTTGAACTGACGCACTCGTACATCCAAAAACTGACCGTGCGTGTGAAATCTTAAGTTGAAATTTTTAACTGACGACAACCCACGGATATTACCGGGTGCATCGTCAGTTCAACTAATCGGTTGAACTGACGTACCTACATCCAAATACTGACCATAAGTACGAAATGTTAAAGTTTTTCCTCAAAAAGTTAAAATTAAAATTTGAAATTAAAAAAATTTAATTAAATTTTTTTAATAAATTTTTTTTAAATTAAAATTTTAAAGTTAAAATTTGAAGGCAGCGAGTGGGGAAATCATTTTGGCTTACATCCGTTTGAACTGATTAGTTCAATTAATCAGTTTATCGTGTGTGTCAGCCATTAGCGAGGCTAACAGACAGCAATATATACTTAGGTCATAAGTTTCGACAAAATCATTTTTATAAAATTAATGATACAATTTTTGTTAATTATACATAAATTATATATGAAATGAAAGGTAATTTAATTTAGAATACAATTTTATTTACATTATTCAAAATGCCCTCCCCTATTTTGAATACATGCCCTTAATCGACGTGGCCAATCATCAATCGCAGCACGCACCACACTCATATCTATTTGTGCCGCTGTTTAGCCAAAAATGCTCGGAGAGAATCTAAATTCTGATGAGGTTTTTCTTTTGAGGTTGCCATATCTTATAATCCAGTGGGCTTAAATATTCCATTCCAGATCCAGTCTTCATGTCCGATAAAGTCAATTCCATGGGCGGTCAACCAGTTTTGCGTGCTTCGTGCCCTATGAGCTGGTGCAAAGTCCTGTTTGAATATCCAATGTATGTTTTTGAACCTTTTTTGGGAAAGAGGTTTCACTATGTTTGTTAGGACGGTATGTTTGTACATATCGGCACTGGTTTTTACACCTTTTTCACACAAAAACACCTTAATTAAGCCGGAATATGAGACTCCAAGCCAAACTATGTGTGACGACGGATAATGTGCTCGTTGAACCCTCGGAACAGAGGCGGCGTATAGCGTGGGCGTCGTGGGCAACCACCTACGGCCTCGCGATCCAGGGGGCCTCGCGCCCTGGAGATTTATGCAACGCGCCGAAAAAATTTCATTGTCATGAATCGATATTATTGACCCAACTAAATATGTTTTTATTCAGTCTAGCAATGTTAGTTTGCGTTGCTATTGCGGGGAATCTTCGCTGCGGAGCGACCATTATATACACAGTAATCTATGGAGGCGACAAAGGCTGAGGATTCCCCGTTCTGTTTGTTAGACATAGAACACTGTCTTTATTTAATGGTGGGCGCGTGGAAATCGAGCAAAGA